GTCCTGTACATTGAACAATTTGACCTGGTATCCATTTTTCCCTTCTCCCATAATTTCCTAGATACACATTCTCATTAAATCCAAATTCTCTTTCAATGAATGTTTTGTCATGATTTAATGGAACTATTTTTGAATTGGCATCTGGAATTATTATGCTGTTATTCAGATCCTTAACTGACATAGATTTCTTTGATTGATCAATTTTCTCAGGTAATCTGATAGTGCTTGTTGGTAACCAAAAATACTGTTTAAAAGTACTATCCTGGACAATATCACTTTGCAACTGTGATCCAGTATTTGAAGTGGGTGTATTAAATGGCAAAAATCTTTTTTTTTCTTTTGATGTTACCCTTTTAGTTTCTGTAAGTGCTAATGATGTTAGCAAAGTTGTTTGATGATTACATTCCTTCTTATTTAAAGCATTTGAAATTGCCATATCACCATAATCATTTATTAAGTTACAAATACTTTGTTTAGGCAACTCTGACTGATAATGGACTGCATCTTCTCCATCTTTTATATTATCTTCACTAAGGTTTTTATTTCTTATTTTATATGGCCTTAAGTCATCATTCACAGACTCTTCAGGCCAACCATTCTTACAGTACTCATATACTTTTATTAAGCACTCATCTTTTTGTGTTTCTCTTTTAATATCATTCACATCTATATTGGAGTTATCCATGATAGTGAAGAGAACAAATACATCTGGTACATAGCTAAGGCTTTGGTTTTTTAAAGGTAATCTACTAAGACTATCTGCACTATTCTCAGATCCAGGTTTGTATCTCAATTCATAATTGTATGCGGTTAGTGTGGTAGCCCATCTTTGAATTCTTGGTGAGGCATGCTCAGGTAGGGTTTTGTTTTCTCCAAATAAACCTAGCAATGGTTTATGATCTGTAAAGATGGTGAACTTCCTACCAAACAGAAACTTATGAAATTTCTTAACACCAAAAATGATGCCTAAGCCTTCCCTATCTAACTGAGAATAATTTTTCTCAGCCTGGTTCAAAGATCTACTGGCAAAAGCAATGGGTCTGTCACCCTTTTCATCCATGTGGGACAAGACTGCTCCTACACCATCTGGTGAAGCATCACATGTTAATATAAGTCTTTTCCCTGGGTCATAGTGAGTTAGTAAGGTGTCAGAAGACAAAGCTTCTTTTGCTGTATTAAAAGCAGCATCTTGTTGTTTACCCCAGTGCCAAGTTGCATTTTTCTGTAGCAGCTTGTACAGTGGTGATAGTTTACCAGACAGATTCCCTATGAACTTTGCATAGTAATTTATTAAGCCCAAAAAAGCTCTTAGTTGTTGGGTATTTTCAGGTTTGGGTGCTTCTTTAATGGCTTTTGTTTTCTCAGCTTGAGGTCTGATACCTTGCTTGCTTAATATATAACCAAGAAAACTAATTTCTGTCAGCATGAATTGACATTTATCTTTGTTTATCTTTAAACCTTTTTCACCAACTATTTTCAAGACTTTATCTAGTGTTTTAAGATATTCAGTGTCATTCTTACCAGTTATGTACACATTGTCAAAGTAAACACAAACATTTGGAATATCCTTAAAAATACTGTCCATGACAGCTTGGAAAATTCCAGGACTAGATGATATGCCAAAACATAGTCTTTCATATTGGTAGAGTCCTTTATGTGTGTTTATTGTCGTATAGACTTTTGAATCTGGATGCAGTTCTAGTTGAGTGTAAGCATGACTAAAGTCTAATTCAGTGAATTTGTCTCCTCCTGCCAAATTCAAAGAAATTTCCTCAATGTTAGGAATAGGGTACCTATTTAGCTCTATTTGCTTATTCAGTGTGGCTTTGTAGTCTCCACAAATTCTTACAGAACCATCCTTCTTTAACACTGGCACAATGGGCGTTGCCCAATCGGAATAGTCTACCTTCTTTATGATGCCATTAGATTCCAATCTACTTAGCTCATTTTCAATTTTATTCCTCATTGCATAAGGTGGAACTCTAGCTTTGCAGTATCTTGGATTTGTGTCTTTAATGCTTATCTTCACTGTTCTATCATTTAGTAATCCTGAATTGCCAAAAACACTTTTATTTTCAGATATTACTTTATCTATTGAAGTAAGACTAGATTCTCTTACATTCTTCAATGAACATATACTCTCCCAATTTAACTTAAGATCACTTAACCAGTTCCTACCTAGTAATGGTGGTCCATTTCCTTCAACCACAAGAAGAGGAAGTTTAACACTTTGACCATTATAACTTACATGAACCATACACTCTCCTATTACCGGAACATTGTCACCAGTGTATGTTGTTAGACACTTGTGACATGGTTGTAGAGGCACTGATTCTCCTGTGACAGCGTCAAAATCTTTCTTTGTTATGACTGTTAGAGATGCTCCAGTGTCAAGTTGGAAGCTGATGCTCTTACCGTTGATATTAACTAGTACATTGATGGGAGTATGACTTATTGATTTCACAGAGAACAGGTTGAAATCCGGCTGCGAATCAGTTTGAGCATTTTAACAGGTACAGTGTTCATTGGTTGGGTTAGGTAGTCTTGGTGAGAGTTAACATAGTGCTGCCTTTGGTTGCGGTACTGTCTTGACTGGCTAGATTTAGCAACAGACGAAGACTTTGCAAAGCAGGCCTTGGCAATGTGACCTTGCTTACTGCACTTATAACAAGTTGCAGACTTGAACTTGCACCGATGAGATGCATGGGGACCTTTGCATCGATGACATTTTTGATAATTATTACTAGATTTAGATCTAGGCTTTAAACGTGCAGGCTGTTTAGCATAAGTTGGAATGCTCTGATGGGGTTGATGTTTATTGACTAACCTGCTGTTTACTGCATGGACCCCTGAAGGCGTAAGAGATTTCGCCGCATCTGATGACTGCTGGAATAAAGTTGCAAGTTGTATTGCTTTTTCTAATGTTAGATCTGACTCGAGAAGCAACTTTCTTTGAATATCAGGGCTGTTTACACCTGTCACAAACTTTTCACATAGTCTGTCAGACAGCGTGTCTCCGAATTCACAGAATCTACTTAAATGACGTAAAGCAGCAACATATTCTGATATTGACTCGTTTGGTTGACGAGTCCTACTGTCAAATCTAGCTCTACATAGAAACTTTGATGGGGTAGGCGCATGGTGGTCTGTTAGCAATTTGCTCAGCTCGTTAAAGCTCTTGGTAGTTAGACTAGCTGGTGCGCATAAGTCCTTTAGTAGCCTAAATTGTTGAGGCCCTATGACTGTTAACAAAACAGCTCTCTTTTTGGCTTCTATCGTCACGTCGTTAGCTTCAAGGTAAAAGCTTAACCTATCTAGGTAATCCTGAATGATTTCATCATTCGAATCAAATTCTTTTATTTGGCCATACAGCGCCATTATCCTAGAAATACTTAGCCAATAAGCTCTAGCAAACCTCTTTTTTGCGTAAGTAGGTGCTCTTTCTAGTAGATTATTTATCCTCGTCGCCAGATATAATAGATTAGGAATACACAACGGAGACAGAAGCCATCAGCTTGTAGCCATCTTTATTTGGTAAACGGAAGAGGAACAATGATAGATAAATACAAGGGACATCACTCAATAACAACATTATAAATATAACTAATACAAGAAGAGTGAGTTCCCTTGACCTCACAAATCCCAATATGTTACATATCCCAAACCTTAACCCTAGCCCTATTCCTATCCCTAACCTTAATTCTAGCCCTAACCCTAGCCATAGGTCACTGCGCATGCGCAGAGTTATCTTTTGCCGACTAAGTGGAGACGTTGGGGAGAAAAATCTTCTTCCGAGTAGTCACTTCGTACATTTTTAGACTATAGGCCTATTTAAAATTTTAAACATTGTCGCCCGCTCACATTTTCTTGTCTGCGCGAAAAGAAAAAGAAAAATAATGCCTTTTTAGAGGTCACAGTCAGTGCATACAAAAACTTTAACATAAATCATCGTGATAGCCTGAGCAAGGAAAACACGAAGAAATAGTTAGCCACGTTGTTAATGTAAGACCAATACCTTCCGATCTTTAACACGTTGTATTGTGGTACTTGTAAAATGCTTAGAAGTATAAATAAACAATTTAAAAAATTGTAATTAATTTATTAAGTAATTTTAATTATAAATATTTTTAAAATCCAGAAGAAACTATGCTTATAATATAACTTATAAGGATAGCAACCTAGAATTGTCTCTTGGTGTTCCGCCTTTTGCATGTGGGCTATGTTGCCGACGGCTTTTGACATCGTTTTTTTTATGGTTGTCTCACCTCGTTGAAATAGAAGGAGCTATGAAAGACAGTAGTGACCGTATTTCGCAATATTTAGGTGTTGATTCTTTGTGTTTAAGAAACTCCCGTAATTTCCTTTCGCTTGGACCCGATGGTTCGCCTTATAAGGATAGCAACTAGCATCGTCTCTTCTCTTGAACTTTACGCCTTATTTCATGCCTTGTTTTATGGTTGTCTGGATATGAGCTATGTAGTAACTCATATTTTGCTATATTAATATTTTTATGTTTGTCTGCCTTGTGGTTTGTCGGCCTAATGGCTGTCTACCTTTTGGCTGTCGGTGTCGGTCTTTTGTCCATGTCGGCCTTTTGTCTTGTCGGCCTTTCGGGTGTCTGCTTTTATAGCTAAGGGGTCATCCATTTATGACGTCCACAATTGTTTTGGATTTTGGACCCCCCCCCCCTTTCCCCGCGTGTGGACGTCATAAATGGATGACCCTTAAGCAATTAGCGGAAATTTCCGTTTTTATCTTACCCATACTTAAACTCTTATTAAACAGCAATGTGCACACGTAGGATGTATGTCAACTGAATAATTAAATTTTCCATTAAATATTTGACATTTTGTTTATTTTCTGATAATCTAACAAAACTCTAAGGAGCTAATTAGTCGGATAATTAGTTATTTAGACTAGCCAAGATCTTTATTTACATTACTGGATTTTTCCTATCACTATTAATAAGTTTAAATTTAGTCCGGGGAAATTCAAGAAGGGAAACAACAATGGCTGCTTTCTCAACTTTAGTAAACTCATAGATCCAGATTGAAAGATTATCGGATTAATTTTGCCTACTGATAGATCTAATAATGCGATGTCGTGGGTAATATTAGTTAGATCAAATCGAAATCTAGATCTACTACCAGTAGCCTTAAGAAATGAGTCAAAATTGAGTTATAAGATTTATTAGGCCTAAAAAAATTTTAAATAGTTATTTTATTGGTAATCCCTTAGTTTAGCGTAGGAAATTATCGGGTAATGTTTGTTGAGTTTCGGTAATTAGACCATTGAAATATAAATAAATTGAAAGTCGATTGTAGTAAATTAATGTTTTAATTTTTTAAGTTTAATCGACAAAAGGAAACAAGAATAAATATAATAGTAGATTTAAATTAGTAGATCTAAAAATAAAAACATATATAAATATTATTAAATATAAATAATGTATCAAATGTAATAATTTAATGTTTTTGGCTTGCAGCGGATTTGCGACCATTAATTAATTAAATCTAGCTAGATATCTAGCTGCTAGGCGAAGTAAAAAAATCTAGGGTAATCCCTTAGTTTAGCGTCGGTTATTATTCCGGAATCGTATAGCAGTAAAAAACAGTAAAACAATGCCAAAGTCTGTCACACACTTCCGGAATTCACCGGAAGTACCGTAAACCATACTTTATTTGGCGTCTTCTTTTATTTTTACACAGAATGTTTAAAATTTGGATAGATTTATTTTTGTAATCATTTTTACATTTTGTAATCATTTTTACTATTTTCGTAATCTAGATTTTTTTACTTGGCCTAGCAGCTAGATATCTAGCTAGATCTAGATCTAATTAATTAATGGTCGCAAATCCGCTGCAAGCCAAAAACATTAAATTATTACATTTGATACATTATTTATATTTATATTAATATATGCTTTTATTTTTAGATCTACTAATTTAAATCTACTATTATATTTATTCTTGTTTCCTTTTGTCGATTAAACTTAAAAAAATAAAACATTAATTTACTACAATCGACTTTCAATTTATTTATATTTCAATGGTCAAATAAACCATGGTTTACCGTAACTCTAGCTACCGAAACTCAACAAACATTACCCGATAATTTCCGACGCTAAACTAAGGGATTACCAAATCTAGATTACGAAAATAGTAAAAATGATTACAAAATGTAAAAATGATTACAAAAATAAATCTATCCAAATTTTAAACATTCTGTTTAAAAATAAAAGAAGACGCCAAATAAAGTATGGTTTACGGTACTTCCGGTGAATTCCGGAAGTGTGTGACAGACTTTGTTATTGTTTTACTGTTTTTTACTGCTATACGATTCCTGAATAATAACCGACGCTAAACTAAGGGATTACCATTTTATTAGTTAGTTACTGTGTTAGGCCTATAATAAGAAAATAAGGTAATCTATCGTTTTGGGTACGTAAAATCGCCCGCGGCTAGTAATGTACGAAAAAGTTACCGCATTGTCAAGGCTTTAATAGAAGTATATTTTGATATATTTGTGCCAAATTCAAATATTATAGATAAATGAATAATAAACCTAAATCAATAGCTAGATATATCTGAATATAGGCAAGAAATTAACTTTAAACAGCAGTGTTTGCGAGCAGGATTACCTATATAAACAGCAGCCATTTGTAAAATAGAGTTGCCTTCCCGTGAATCTCGCTCTATAAGTTAACAAAGAAAGAACTTAAACAAGATGGCTGCTATAGTAAATGAACATGGTTGCATCTGTTGGAGACATCGCTAGTCTTCATTTATTATTGAAAAGTTTTGATTCAATTGTTTGAAAACAGGTACATAAATGAAACATTTTTGTATTTTTCAAAACATAAATCCTCCTTAAAATGTGAAATAATTATTAAAATATAAGGAGTCACCTGTCTTTCACATTACTAGTCACGGGCGATTTTACGTACCTAAAACGATAGATTACTGAAAATAATTATATTGGTAATCTATCGTTTTGGGTACGTAAAATCGCCCGCGACTATTAATGTACGAAAACGTTACCTCATTGTCAAGGCTGTAATAGAAGTATATTGTGATATGTTTGTGTCAAATATTATAGATAAATGAATAATAAACCCAAATCAATGGCTAAATATATCAATATAGGCCAGAAATTAACTTTTAAGTGTCTGCAAGCAAGATTTGCTATATAAACAGCAGCCATTTGTAAAATAGAGTGACTTCCGCCTGAATCTCGCGCTATAAGTCTATAAAAATAAAACTTTAACAAGATGGCTGCTATAGTAAATGAGCATGGTTGCATCTGTTGGAAACATCGCTGGTGTTCATTTATTACTGAAAAGTTTGAATTCAATTGTTTAAAAACAGGTACATAAATGAAACAAGGAAACATTTTTGTATTTTTCAAAACATAAATCCTCCTCAAAATGTGAAATAATTATTAAAATGTAAGGAGTCACCTGTTTTTCACATTACTAGTCGCGGGCGATTTTACGTACCCAAAACGATAGATTACCATTATATTAATTAATATAATCATAAATATTTATTAAATAATTAAATAGAAATAGTAACTACTAGTCTAACTACTAGATCTAGATCTAGATTTATAGTATTAGAAATCTAGTATTAACGAAGTGACTACTCGGAAGAAGATTTTTCTCCCCAACGTCTCCACTTAGTCGGCAAAAGATAGCTCTGCGCATGCGCAGTGACCTAGGGTTAGGGCTATAATTAGGGTTAGGGATAGGGTTAGGGCTTAGGGATAGGATTAGGGTTGGTGTTAGGGTTCTGCTGTTGTAAACGCACGCATGCGCAGTACCATAGAAAACATCGCCGCGATGGCAAGCCGTAGTTTCTCTCCATTGCGCATTCGTATCTTATTCCAGCTAGCATCGGCCAACTATCTAATTTTCTAAATCTATTCTTAGTTCTTAGTATTCTACTCTTACTCTACTAATTTAGTCTAATACTATTCTAATTCTAGCATCTAAAATCTAATTTTCAAATTTGTAAAATTAAATTTTGATGATTATCTTAATATAATATTATCTACATCTTAATCTATCTAAGTGTATGATCTAGATCTAGATATTATTTTAATATTTTATGCTCTAAGTCTTTAATTTAATAATTATAAAATATAATTAAGTCATTTTAAGTTAAGTTAGCATATTATAATAAGATTAAGATAGTTGCTAAACTTTAGTTATTAGTTAAATTAAAAGTAAATGTCAAATGAGCTTGGTTTAGTAACTTTAATTTAATCATTAATCTGGGTAATCTGTCGTTTTAGGTACCTAAGTCGACCGAGACTAGTAATGTGAAAAAAAAGTTGACTCATTAAATTTTGATAGTTATTTCACATTTTTATGAGGATTTGTTTTGACTATTACAAAAATGTTTCAAAGTTTCATCAATGTACCTGTTTTTAACCAATTGTATTAAAAAATTTCATAGAAAACAAAAGTATGTTCATTTTTCTACAACAATCATGGATCATATTAGTCTTAGTATAAATACTTTAATTTTGGTTAAATTTATAATGCGCTGACGTAAACGTTAAGACTCGGCCTCTGAATGGCATTCCGCAGTGTTAAAAAAATACCGTTTTGCAAGTTATTTTACAAAAATAATTCTATAAAATACAAAATCAACATAACGAGAAAACTACAAGAAGTGAATACAACGAAAAAGGGCGCTCTAGTGTTATCAGGACCTAGATTTGCTATTAAAAACTTGGATTCTGAAAAAACAACTTATTAAATAGAGAAAATTTTATTGGACGCTGGGAGCATCGTTGCGGTATGGCAGGCAGGCCTGTCAACAGCTGGGAGCGTCGTTACGGTCTTAAAGAGTTAAAAAAATAAATCCTCCTAAAATGTAAAATAATTACTAAAATTAAAGGAGTCACATATTTACATTACTAGCCTCGACCGATTTTACATACCTAAAATAATAGATTACCCAGAGATTACCCCTCCCGGCGCCCAGGGAAAAACTCCCCCCCCCCCCATTTATTTTTTATATTGAGAATTTAAAACTGCAACTAAAATTAGCTTTTAGTTTTTTCCGCCCCATTTTGGTGCCCTAGGGTCAGCGCCCGGGGACATCTGTATTCCCACCCCCGTTAAATAATCCAGCATAAGAAACTTTAATAGATATTTTAGGCCATATGCTTTAAAGGATAGTGCCAAATTTATTGAATACAGTTTTTATCATTCACTATTGACTATAATATTAAATTATCAATTCATTGATCAACCTTTAATTTGCCTTCTTGTTTCAGAAATATATTCTAAATACCCTGGATAGCCAAATGTGCTTTTTCATTTTTCTCACCAGTACCAGAAGGAGTGTTAAAAATCATATCATCCAAACTTTGTAGGCCATGTTTTTCATGGTTCTGATATTTAACACATCAAGTTACAAAAATGACAGAAACTGATTCACATCTGCCCAACTTTAGACAGGAGTTGGCCTTAATTGCTAGTGAACTTCACAAAGATGATATAAAAAATTTGAAATTTTTATGTGAGCCTTCTGTGCCCAAAAAATTTCTTGCCAACTTCAAAACAGGTTTGGAAATTTTTGAAGCCTTGGATAAAAGTCGCCTACTGTCTGAAAACAATGTAAGTTACTTGGTAAATATGTTTCGCCTAATTGGACGAATGGATTTAGCAAAACGGCTTGAATCAAAATGGGCTGTTAACAGCTATGAAACTAATTCATCTATCTCTCCATTCCGGATTCTTCTTTTTAATATAAGTGAAGATCTTGGAGCTGAGGATCTTGATAAACTAAAGTAAGAACTGAGTGAGCAGTATTTATTTCATAAATTAATTAAATGTATCAATTTGAAAAGACATTTTACTAAATTATAAAATCTGTACATCTATATTTATTAAATATTACATTTTATTATACTATGTAATATAATATTTTGTTATTCTTAAGGCTTTGTTATTTTCTTTATAGTTATAGTTATTTTTAACAAAAATTACAAAAAATAAAGGTGCATGAATATATTGTTATAACTTTGTGTAATAATTTCTTTAGCACTGACCATAATCTGTGCAAAAATAATTTTTTAGATTTTATTATGGGAAAGTCCCTAAAAGACATCAAGTTGATTTTGGAATAGACTTATTCTCCTACATGTTAAAGCACACTGCCATATCACCAAATAATGTTAGTGGTCTTGAAAAGCTTCTTCAACTGATTGAAAGGAATGACCTTGTGGAAGTTATTAGAGAGTACCAAGGTATGTTTTTGTAAGTTTTCAAGTAACAATACATTCATTTTACTTGGATACTATGTGGTCTAGTTTTTTATTTTAATAATAAAGGTTTTTAAAAAAATTTGTTTCATTAAAAAAATGCTGTATGTTCAGTAATAGTATTTTTCTGTAATTATTTTTTTTTAAATTGTTCATTTAATTGCAATAATTAATAATTTAGATTCTCAAGAAACAGTAGAATAATTTGTTACATTTGTTACTTATCAAATAGAAAATTACATGTTGGATGAAAGTTCCATGGATGTGACACATGAACCTGAAGAAAATAGTAAACCTGCTAGTTATGAGGTTAGTATTTAGATTATAATTATATTGCTGCTCAACTGTGTTCTCCTTTGCTTGTTCATCCCTCCCCAGTTAATGCATAGAGTGTCACTTATTTCACTTGATTGTTCATTTATTTACAAAAAAATAAAATATTTTTATATTAGTTTATAGATCCAAGTGTACTTTTATTTATCTTTTTTTTTTAAAATGGCACAAAGATATAGTCTTAATTGAAGACATTGGTGTAAAAATAAAAAAATAAAAGACGTGTTTAGCATATTGTGTGTGCTTCGTATTAATTCTAATAAATTCCATTGATAAAATTCCCTGTAAAAAATCAAAGAAATTAAAAATGTGATTGGTAGTTCATACAAAATCTGAAAACCAAATTGTGTAAAATATTTATGTAAGTACTTTCAGATTATTGGTCATTTATCAGTTATATCATGAAAATATTCTGAAACGTAATTTTTCTTTTCTTTTGATCCTGTAAACCCAACAGCTAATCCAAATTAATACTTAGAACCATTGGGGACAGAGTGGTCTAGCGGTAGATAGCTGGGCTGCTAACCCGTAGGTCTCGAGTTCGAATCCAGGTTCAAGTCAGTAGACTGTCCCTGAGTCCACCCAGCTCTGATGGGTACCTAACTCATGTTAGGGAAAGTAAAGGCGGCTGGGCTTAGTGCTGACCACACTATCTCTTCATATGCTGAGGTCACAGAAACAAGTGAACTCTACTTCACTTGCCCCATAAACCGTCAGATTTGAAGGGGAACTTTACTTACTTAGAACCATTGTTGCCTATTGATCAAACATAACCCTAAACCTTACCCTACAAGCAGAATTGTTGTCTCAATGATACTTTTATTTAATAGACAGAACAATCACCAGTACAGGAGAGTTCGATGTACTCAGACTCAAACAATTTCACCTATTCAACTGCGTCTGCCTCTGAAACTAGTGCTGAAACTTCTTCAAACCCAGCAATTGGTAAGTTACTCATCATAATTCAAGCAATGAAATGACAAGTGAAATAATGCAAATAGAAAACATTGAACCTGTTTTCTCATTTTGCTCTCACATTGCTTGTTTGTTTTATCAGGAGCTACAGCAAATGGAACAGGTGTTAAGAGTGATGAAGCTATTGGTGAAGTCCAGTTTAATGTTGAAGGTGAGTTTCTCTAACTAGGAAATATTTTACATGGGACAATATTGTAAAAAAAACAAAGATATGGTATTATTTTAAAATAATTAATAAACTAACATACCAGTATTTAACTTTTTGTTTTTGTTATAATCTCTGATCTGTGTGTATTTTTGGGTGTTAAGTTTTGTTAAATGTAATAGTTTACTATTTAAATATTGCATGTTGTAAGTATATCAAGTAGAAGTAATAAAATAATGTATTTTGTATAATGGTAATTTGAGTAAAAAATAATGTGTAAAATAAATGTTTGCTTATTTAACAGAAGCAGCAGTACATGAAACAACAGCAAAGCATTTTGGTCAATCCCACTGTAATGATCATCTGGAATTAGATCAAATTACTATTGCTGGTGAGTTTTTTTAACAATGAACAAAAGTTTTAAAAATTAAAACAATAAAAAAGTACCTATAATACATAAGATTATCTTTTCAACAATCATATTAACTAATATCCCAATATTTAATTATTTTATTATTCTCTTTTTCTGGGTATCTTTTGGTACTTTGTTTTGTAAATTTTTTGTTTCTAAATGTTGAAAATTTTAATTAGGTCTGTATATTTTATTTTTTCATTAGTCCCATGTACAGAATCTGCAGCAGAACCAGTCCAGCAACGTTTAGACATGTTAGATTATGGTGCAGATGATTGCTTGCAGTATTATAAAATGACTGCTCGACCTAGAGGTACAAGTCTTTCAACAAAATACTACAATTGTTATCTGATCTTCTTTTTATTCTTTGTTCTTAATTTTAGTGTTGAAAGGTATCCCCTCCAACACAATTAAGTAAATTTGTGTCAACTGGTTATGCGCCATCATTTAGGCCGTTGATTCCAATTTCAGCCTGCTTTTCTTTTTGGATTTGCTTCCATAGCTTTTGTCCAACCAAGAACAAACTACAAGGCAGCAGCTATTTGATTTTGGAGTTATCTCTCCTAGAAGAGTGGCTGTCCCCAGCTAACGAGCCTCATCTTACCGAGGGTTCGAGCTCGAGACTTTTCAGTTTAGCAGCCTTGAGCTTTACCGACTCGACCACACCGATCCTTGTTATCTGATCTAAAATGGCTGTAAAATCAAAGTTCAGAATTTACAAAAGGCTTTAGCTCAGTTGTGGACAGCATGGTCAAACTGTAGAGCATATGGGTACATGACTGAACTCTCAGGAAAGTATAGGCAGCTGATCAGTTTATATGCTGAGGTCACAGAAACATTATCTCTACAACATGTAAAAGACACTGCCTTACTTTTTTCATTCAGTCTCATGGCCTGTTGACGTAGGCATATCTGGGGGGTTTTATGCTGGCCTTATATTCTGATAAAACACAAGTAGCCTAAATGGTTTAAATAAATGCTTGCGTATTTGAAGAAGATTTTTAAAAGTTATATAAATGTAGAGGTTTTATTATTTTAAATAAAACTTAATGCATTTAGAGCTTAACTTAATGTATCTAATTTGTTACAATTTGTTGCAATTATGTCAAACAACTTTCATTCTTAGCAAATTACTCTTGGTACCAACATTTTAAGTCTTAAACTTGTAAAAACTTGTGCCACATATAACTTAATCAATTATTAACTTGTAAAAATTATATTAAATTTACTATTGTCATAAAAAAATTATTTTTTTACCTCTACATCTATGTAATTACATCTGTTGGTTATTACTTTAAAAACCAAATTAAAAATGTATTCTTAAATATCTCACACTGCTAAATTTAGATTTTTAAAAGAATTTTATTTATACTTTTTAAAGACTAAGTTTGTTATTCCAGGTTTATGTGTTATATTTGATAACCATAAATTCACCTACGACTCAACTGACCATGAAGCCATAAAGCTGGATGACAGAATGGGGTCAGAGCATGACAGAGGTACACATGTCCTAAATACAGCGTTACTCCTTCGACTTGACTTATATTATTATCTGATTAGTTTGAAAAGACGAAAATGAACATTATGTATTTGCATTAGGTTTTATTTTTAATTTATAACTTACAAATGAGGAGGAAGGTCTAAAAAAAAAGTTCTGTAGAATCATGAGGACTAAGGGGGAAGCAGTTTGGGTCCAGTCATACCTTCATATGCTAAATTTAACAGTGAATTTCATATAACCTGCATATAGATTTATAAATTTAAATAACAGTGCTCATGCTTAAATATAAGCTTAAAGGGGAAGTAAGTCTTAAATATATACTTTATAAAATTTTGAGGCACACACTTAAGGTATGTATGTGATTAAAAATAACATCGGAGCGCACCAGATATGGATTCAGTTATATGTTTTTTTTTTAAAAGTTTAATAAAATAAATGATCATCATATATTTATTTATTAAAACATTATGTTTTCTCTACTATTTAATAACGTGCATTTCTGAATAGTATAAATCATTATATAAATAAGTAGCATATAAATTTTTAATATAATAATTTATTTATTGTATAATAAGTAACATAATATGTTATATTATGCAGGTTATTAAGTTACTGTTTTAGTTTTGGAATAACCAGTACATTGTAATGGAGGATGCATAAGGGGAAACTTAAACTGTGTATGAATGTCATATATGGGTGACCCTTAATGCACAGGGTGTAGTTTAAAATGGATGATGCTTACAGAGCATTATAACTGCCTGTTTCCAAAAGTAGCTTCACTGTTGTTTTTTTTATTCCTAGCATCAACAGTCTATGTCTAAACTTACCTTAACATTCATAGAATTAATATTTATTGAGAAATTCAATTATCCCACCCTGTATTGCTGTTAAAATACTTTAAAATGGTCAAATTAATGCATAGAGTTTTCAACATGTTGTTTACAAATTAGAGATTATTAAAATGTTCTATTTTTTAAAATTGTAGCCTCTCTTCGCAAGACATTTGAAAGGTTACAATTCATAGTTGAGGCTGAGGAAAATCTGACAGACTCTGAGATGGCACAGAGGCTTTTAAGAATTGCTTCCAGTGACCATAAAGACTATGACTGTTTTGTCTGCTGTATCCTGTCTCATGGAGAAGAAGGATTTGTGCATGCATCTAATGGCCGCAAGATCCAAATCAAGTGGATCACTGATCTTTTCAAGTAGGCCCACATTAGATTTTAATTTCTCACTTTATTCTATATCGCAGAGAATTCTTCAAACATAATTTGAGTGTGTAATTTTAATTTTTTTTTTTCAACAGGTGTCAGTTTTGTCCGCAGCTTGCTGGGAAACCAAAACTTTTTTTCCTGCAATGTTGCAGGGGGAAGACATATCAACCTGGTAGGTCTTACATAAAAATACTGTAAAAATTTGATAGGATGTTTTTATTAATTATTTAAAATTTGGTCTTTATTTTGTGAAAATAGTTATGTTAAACACCATAATAAATCATCTTATAAATAAACCGGGAGTGATCTCCCCTAAACTTTCTTGAATATTCTTATATAAAACAACAGGGGATGGGAACTCGGGATATAGTTATGATTTTTAATCCATTTTAAATACTTAAACTTTTTAAAATAGAATAGAATCTCATAGGAAAAAAGTATTGCGCACCAAGCGAACGCCGAATAAAGATGTTCATAATGGTGCGCAATATTATTAGTACTTTATAAATTTAGATGCGTTTTTGAGAAATCGGAAATAGCGTAAATTAGTACTTCCCGTCAACGGAAATTACTCAAAATTTAACAGAAGGTAGAGAATTAGATCTTTTACTTACAGGTGAAATTTCATTTATCTATCTGAAATAGTACTCAAGTTGTAGGCTTTTGAAAAATTCAAAGTAGAAAAAGTACCACTTCCGGTTATCGGAAATCGCTCAAAAGTAGATACGGATCTACGATTTTGATAAAATACTTATATATGAAATTTCATCAACCTAGCTGTAACGGTACTCAAGTTATCGTGTTTACACACACACACACAGACAGACAGACACACAGACAGACACACAGACATACCGACAAGATTGCAAAATTATGTTTTTCCGTATCAGTGAGATGTAAAACCTCGAGATCTGTAAAAATCTCAATTTTTTTTTGCACCATTACAAGACTTTCTCTATACTTCATATATAGGAGAAAGTAAAAAGGGGTTGTCTTAAAAACATTTGAAAGCTTTTTATACTTTGCTGTATCTCTATAAAATGTATGGAACAAGCGTCATTTTAAAAATCCAATCTATATACCAGGGTATCAACCTGAGTTTGAAATTGAAGAAGATGCACCACACCCAGAAGTACAAATTTCTCGTGATGTCATTCCCAATGAAGCTGATTTTTTATTTGGCTATGCCACAATGGCTGATTCTGTCTCATATCGTAGCAGATCTAAAGGAGCTTTTTATATCAATGAATTAACAAAAGCATTGGATAAATATGCTCACAGGTAAATAATTTTAACTGTATCATATATTTTTAAGGTTAATAATTTTAACTGTATCATATATTTTTATCCTAAATCATAACCCGGTTTATGATTTATATACAGAAATTTTTATATAGTATTATAATAAATATGTAATTATAATAAACATTACTGTATTTGAAATTAATTTGCTTTTTGATATTCAATAACTTAAAATACTTGTGACATTTTGAATATATTTTAATGGAACCATTTCAGTAACATTAACAATATGTCAAGTTACTTTGTTTTATTTGTCAGAGAGGATCTCTTGACGCTTCTGACTAGGGTCAACCAGGAAGTGTCAAAGAAATCTTACGAGCCTGTGGGGCAGCTCCATGTGTACAAACAGATTCCAGCTCCACAGTACACGCTTAGAAAACTGCTTAAGTTCTTGTAACAAATAATGTACACTAAAGAGAAAATTAAATTGTTACAGAGAAATATTGTATTCATATGTTAAAATATGTTATAATATGGTTTTCTTTTTTTTGTGTATTGTGATACAAAATGTCCTTAGAGACCCAACTATTAAAATTGTTAATTAAATTAAGCTATTTATTAATGTTAATTTATTATACATCTGAAATCAGTTGCTGAATTTAAACAGATATTTTTGTTTGGATCAAATTATTAAGTTCCCTTTGATAATAATATTGTAGATACCTGTAGAATACCTAGAATTCCTATTAAAATACCCAGGTTTGAAATTCAGATTATTTTACTTAAAACTCATACTCTCCACTGTTCAGTCAAAACATTTTTTGTATTGTAGAGTAGAAAGGTAAAATAAGATATTTACCAGTGCTTGTTAGTATTCTCCCTCACACATTAATAATGATTGGCATTAAAAGAATTAAAATTTAATTTGCAGCTGAGCGATTTTATTACTGTTTTATATTCATGTGTATATTTTTTTTAAAGGTAAAAATCAACTCAACACTTTAATATATTTTTTTTTTGTGTAAAATTATTTTAAAACAATTACGCCTTGTTCAAAAGGTTTAATGCTTAAACAAATTGTTTAATTAAAAGAAAACAAGTTACAAATGTTCACAGTTGAGTAAGGAAATTATTTCAAATCTTTCACAACCTATTTACCCAGATTAACACTCAAAAATACACTTCATACAAAAGTTTGCATGACATAGAGATGCACACTGTTTTTATAGTATATATGCATTTTTAACTCATTCACACACTATCAACTAATGCATCACTACCATAAACAAAAATAAGCAAGTTTTAATGAGATAAACTTTTATATGTTTTGTTAGAGAATGGTGAGTCAGCAAGTTTGCTATATGGTAGGCCTAATAATGTGTTAATATGTCTTTTAAACCATATATTGGTTCATGCCTGTGTGATAACTATGCCTAATTACTAATACCCATGTATTATGCACTTGTAGTATCGTATTTGCTTGTAAATAATTAAACAGATGTATAAATATGTTATTCACAAATATGATTTTAAATGAATGCAAGTGCACAGAGAATGTATTAAACTTTCCAGAACATCTTGACAGTGTTTTCATTACTGATGTATCAATACAGTGAATGAGGATTTACCTAAGGCCCATTGCATAGTTTCAACAACTGAGATAAAAATATTAGCCTACAGTAGCGTAGGCAAGGGGGGGTTATAACCCCTCCCATTAACTCACACCTATATATATATATATATATATATATATATATATATATATATATATATATATATATATATATATATATATATATATATATATATATACATATATATTTATATATATATGATTTTATACATATGGAAAACATATTTGAACCCCTCCCATGACCAATTCCTGGCTATGCCACTGTTAGCCTATATAGTATATATCCACTCTTTATAAAAATCAGTGACTATATGTAAGTAGAGAATGATAATAGAATCTAATCAGATGTTCATATATGTAGGAGAGACACTTTTCAAATTTGTGTGGTGGGAGTTATTGGTTCATGTTGTGGGGCTCTTTCTGGCCCAATATAAACATCTCCATGACTATTTTGTGCTATTTATCCAAAATGGTTCAATTTTTTTATGAACATCCCTTGTCTTTAGCTATAGGATTATGCACACATAATATATAAAATAAAACGGGTAGGGATGGCTCATTACCTTGTTAAACTTCCATATACAGGTTTTGTGGTGGTAAAGAACACAGGGGTCATCCATAAATGACGTCACGCTTTTTTGACGATTTTTATCTCCCCCCTCCCCTCCGTCACACGTCGTCACAAAAAGCCAAACCCCCTACCCCCTAAAATGACGTCACACCTCAACCTACAACCCCCCCTCAAAATTGCAGTTGAATTTTTTTTAAACATCGATATTTTTCTAAAGTCTTGTCTAAACTATTACAATTTATTAAAACAGTTATCTAAAACGCAAAAGTGTGACGTCGCAACATTTGAACCCCCCCCCCTCCCCCTCATCACACATCGTCACAAAATTACGGACCTCCCCTCTACGAGTGTGACGTCATTTATGGATGACCCCACAGTGTTTTTTATAACACCCTTTGATAATCTTCATTATTTTCTCAAAATTTCTACTATTCGGAATGTTTGAATAATAACACCATATTCTTTTATCTATATATATAATTCTCTTCTGGGAGCCGTTAGAAAACAAGCTGCAAGCGCCTCCTTGCAGTCCCCTCTCTTTCTCTCTATCACTATCACTACCACCCCCACCCCACCCCCACATTGTCTGGTGAGCTGTGGTCACGCTGTTTACATTTTACAATCATAGAGACGGGTTTGGTGACGGCTATTAGGGGCAGATAATTTAGTTTGAAACGATTTTAAACTTAGAGTAGGTAACTAAGAGGAGGCTGCTTTCACGTGGGGGGTGGGGAGGGGGGGTTTAGTGTTTTTAAGCAAATATTTTCAGTGGCAGCATTGGTACTGTCGAATTCACAAATTATAAATTACTGAAAAGTAGAAAAAAAAACAACTAAATAGCGGCGTATGATATGCCGCGGGTCGGCTCGTTTATTATAATGTAATAACAACAATAGTTTCTAGTGAAGATGTAATAATTAGTGATTTTCAATGAAAGGAAATGTCCAAATTATGGATAATATTCTCTTATAATAATATTATTTCGATTTTTGAATGCGATATTTTTGTAAAATTAATTAAATAAATGTGAGAAGGATTTTATAACATTAAATAGGTTGTGCATTGTATTAGTATAGTATGTGCACGTTAACTAATTATTTTTAATAAGTCGAAATTTGACCTGAAGAGTGAGGGTTTTTTTTTTTACAGCTAGTGACTGCTAGAGCCTTGTTTCGACATAATCACTAGGCATATATTACTGTGCTCTAGATCGCTTTATATTTTATAAATTATGCTACCTCATTTATAAGAAACGTATTTATAAGCCGACAAATAAATTTGAGTAAAACATAAAATGTGCTTTTGCATACAAAAAGCTATTTATAATAATTTATCGTGTAAAAAAATATTTAAAAATAGGTTTATATCAGGTTTCGCGTAGAGCGCTCTACTCTTATTGCACTCGCGACATGTAGATCTATATTCTATACTGTACTTTTCTTGGGAATTCCCCTTACTTGTTTGGCTATGTATGAGCCAAACAAAAGCAAAAAACACCGAACACATCGATTGAGGTTTTGAATTGTAGAAATTCAAATAGGTAGATCTGGAATCTAGATCTATTACTAATTCTGTAATTCAGAAAAGGGTAGGCCTAAACAAATTTTTAAACTAATTAGATCTAGTAGTTAGACCTAAATAAAAACGAAGTGTCTAGTCTACTCGGAAGAAGATTTTTCGGTAATCTATCGTTTTGGGTACGTAAAATCGCCCGCGGCTTCTAATGTACGAAAAAGTTACCTCATTGTCAAGGCTTTAATAGATGTATATTTTGATATATTTGTGTCAAATATTATAGATAAATGATTGTTTATGAATAATAAACCTAAATCAATAGTTAAATATATCAATATAGGCCTTGAATATAGGCAAGAAATTAACTTTAAACAGCAGTGTTTACGAGCAGGATTTCCTATATAATAGTATATAAACAGCAGCCATTTGTAAAATAGAGTTGCCTTCCCCTGAGTCTTGCCCTATAAGTTAATAAAGAAAGAACTTAAGATGGCTGCTATAGTAAATAAGCATGGTTGCATCTGTTGGAAACATCGCTAGTCTTCATTTATTATTGGAAAGTTTTAATTCAATTGTTTGAAAACAGGTACATAAATGAAACAAGGAAACATTTTTGTATTTTTCAAAACATAAATCCTCCTCAAAATGTGAAATAATTATTAAAATTTAAGGAGTCACCTGTCTTTCACATTACTAGTCGCGGGTGATTTTACGTACCCAAAACGATAATTACCGATTTTTCTCCCCAACGTCTCCACTTAGTCGGCAAAAGATAGCTCTGCGCATGCGCAGTGACCTAGGGTTAGGGCTAGAATGAGGGTTAGGGGTAGGGTTAGGGATAGGATTAGGGATGGTTTTAGGGTTTTGCGGTTGTAAACACACGCATGCGCAGTACCATCGAAAACATCGCCGCGAAGGCAAGTCGTAGTTTCTCTCCATTGCGCATGCGTATCTTATTCCGGCTAGCATCGGCCAAATAAAAAATAGGCCTAAATAAATATTGTAGGCCTAAATAATAAGTAAATAAAATATCAATCAATACTCAATACTCAATAGTAATACTGATTCAATACAATAAGAATAAGACCTAAGTTTAAGATTTAATAAGTAAGTTATTGAATAACTTCAATTCAATTATTGAATTAACTTGGTTAGTCAATGCCTCAATCAATGGCCAATGGTTACTCACTGGTTAGTTGTCCTAAAAAAATAGTTTATTCTTAGTACTAATATAAAAAATAAAGCAGTAGCCCTGCCTTAATGAGTGGACACAACTGAGCTGATGAGAATCCTTCCAGCCATTATGTTAGAAAATAGAAACTAAGGCTGCTGGGCATAGTTATTAATTATGCTGACAACACTATCACCCTGTATTCCAAAGTCATTCATTTAAACAGATGAACTCTACTTCATCTGTCCCATGGGCACAAACGAAAAAAGATTATGAGATGATATATATTATAACGAAGTGACTACTCGGAAAAAGATTTTTTGCCCCAGTGTCTCCACTTGATCGGCAAAAGATAGTTCTGCGCATGCTCAGTGACCTTAATAGGTGAGCCAGGGCTAGGGCAAGGGTTCTGCGGTTGTAAACACACACATGCGCAGTACCATCGAAGGCAAGTCGTAGTTTTACTCCATTGCGCATGCATATCTTTTTCCGGCTAGTATCGGCCATATTATAATATATCTATTATACATGTATGCACACACACAGACACACACAAGTCAAGATAGATAGATATTATGTCAGTCTATGTAAGTATGTAGCATAGGCCGGTATTCTATCGTTTTAGGTACGTAAAATCGGCTGAGGCTAGTAATGTGAAAAAGGGAGACTGATCACATTTTTAAAATTATTTCACATGTTTAGAAAGATTTATGTTTTAAAGCTTACAAAAATGTTTCAAACTTTCATTCATGTACCTGTTTTTAAACAATTATATTAAAACTTTTCAGTAATAAATAAAGATTAGCGATGATTTCATCAGATGCAACCGAGCTCATTTACTTTAGCAGCCATCTAGTTTAAGTTTTTTGGTATTATTTTAGCTAGAGGTTAAGGGAAACCACTCTAATTTTCAGATGGCCGCTGTTTATATAGCAAATCTTGCTCGCAAACAAGACTGTTTAAAGTTAATTTCTGGCCTTCGTACGGTATATTTAGACATTGCTTTTAGTTTATTATTCAATTATCTATTATATTTGACACAAAAATATAATAATATACTTGTATTAAAGCCTTATTAATTAGCCACCTTTCTTGCACATTCCTAGCCTCGGCCGATTTTACGTACCTAAAAATGATAGATTACCCCTAGGCCTATAGTTAATAGTTGTTTTTAAATATATTTATGGATTGATAGAGTGGGGCTAGGTAGGTGCCAAGAACATTGAGCTTTTCAAAGGAAAAGTGCAGTGATAAAAATTTTGAAAAAGCGCTACCTAGAACTTGGCAATATCTCTAACTTACTAGACCCAACACATAACATCGTATCAGGTCACTGAAACAAAATGTCAAGAATCAAAATTATCAACACGGGTGTCATATTTTATGCTGAATAATTTTATTGTTTAAAACCTTTCAGTTTATAATTTTCTTTACTTTTGCTAGTAAAGAAATCTATAGGTTTTCTTTATTGTTTATAGTTATAAGCATTTATAGATTGATTTCATTTTCCATGCTGTAGGTAGAGATTTCAAAGCATGACAAGCACAGATTCCTATACAAACACGATACATTTTATAGACAATGAACTCAGTGAAGATGAGGTGGAAGGTCTTAAATTTCTATGTGAGCCATCTATCCCAAAAAGCAAGTTAAAAAATATTTCTCATGGACGAGAGCTATTAAAAGCTTTAGAAAGTTGCAACAAGTGGTCAGAAGACGATGTTTATTATTTATGTGAACTGTTAATGATAATTGGACGTTTAGACTTGGTGGCAAAGCTTGATCACAGTGCACTGAAGAAAAGGCGAGAAACTTCTATATGTCCTTTTCGTGTCCTACTGTTTAAAATAAATGAAGAGTTAGATCAGGAGGAAGTCAAAACATTGAGGTTTGTATGGTTATCCTTCACTTTTTATTTATTATATCAAATTTTATTTTTTACTCAGATCTTTTGAAGAAAAATATCTCTCCTAATCATTTTACTTGTAAAAAATTACTGTAGTGTATAGCTACAAATGCACAAATAATGTTTACTTACAATTGTTGGCCTAAACTCAACCCTGACACAAGCTCTTCCCTATTACAAACCCTGACATTCAATTGTCTAAGATTGGTCATTTATGTTCACCATTCTTGTGACTGTCCAATTTATGACTTTCCTGTGCCACATTTTTACCTAAAAAGAAGATAAAGTTGGATGTACATTTTACTTGGAACAGGTTGCAAGCTTTCTGTTAAAGTTAGCATTATTATTATAAAATATTATCTATATATCTATTAGAATTTCATCTTCTAAGTTTAATAAACTCAGTATTATTAATATAATGATATAGGTTTAAAGATCTAACATCAAAGCCTTTTGTGAACTAAATTAGTAACAATTCTTCGTTTATCAGATGTTCACAAAATCTGCTCTTTCTAACTGAACTTTTTAAGTTAAATTATTCAAAATATATCTACAGCACAATGAAGGTTATATTTTGATACTAGTAGCATTTTGTTAGTATTCTTTGTTGCTTTAAAAATGTATCCGTAGTAAAATAAGTTTAACAAAAGTAATTTTTGTTAATATCTACACCATGTTGTTGTTTTTTTTTTTGTAGATTTTTATATGGAAAAGTACCTAAAAAAGAGATGGTTAAAAATAGCCTTGATCTTTTCTCATACATGATAAAACAAATGGAAATAACTCCAAATAATATCACACGTCTGCAGACTCTCATTACTGATATTAAACGAAACGATTTACTAGAATTATTAGTGGAATATGAAAGTAAGTTTATTTTGCTGATTTTAATCTTTAATTCATATATCTAATTCTTCCTATTATTTTAAGGAATTAATTTTTTTCCCTTAAAAGTAAAAGAAAATTTAGGCAATTTTATTTTCTGCTAAATTTCCTTGAATTTTAATTTAAATACCTGGAAAATGAGTCTATGCACCCTTTTTATAGCATTGAAATAGATTTTCTTTAATTAAGAAGACACATATCTGCTATAACTGCTTGTTTGATTAGATAAATAATAATACAAAGCAGGTTTCATTTTCTGTGTTCATGAATAAATAAAAATAGAAGCAGATCTACCTGAATACTGTTTTGCTACATTATTTGTATTAATAGTAGAGTAGGCTCTATAACAGAATATAATTATTTATCTTGTGCCAAATAGCACTGTGTTAGATATATTTTTTTATTATTTTATTATTTTATGGTTTGTATATTAATATTTTCCTCCCTATTATTAATAATATAATATAACTGTGAATTATGTTTAGATAAGCATATACTAAATGGTTATTCCTGGAACACAGAACAGTCCATCCCCACACCTAGTCCTGTGAGTAGATTTATCTAAATTAAACAGTATTACTTTTTTTCTCTATTTAATGATGTACCAACATACATGTTATGTCAATCCCATATAAAGTATTTAGCTTTAAACACACTCAACAAATAGTCTATATTCTATATTTTTTAAATAATTAACTATGACCCAGACAACTTATAAAATCAATTATTTTGTTTGTTTTCCTAATACTTCTTAGCATTTTATAATATTTGGTGTGATTTACTTAATGTCACATTACTTGTCTTCTTGCGTAGAATGTTTTGTAGTTAGAATATAGTGAATGTTTCTTGTGAAAGTGATTTATATTAGATACAATATTTTGTTCCAGTTGAACCAGTTTGTTTATAACAACAGCGATCCTGTTTATGAAAGTGTAAGTTATCAAGAAACATTTGGACCAAGTAAGATTCAAGTTTTTTTAAACTTTGTGATTCATTTCTGATATATTGTTTTGTTACACTCTCAAAACTTAATTAAATTTTACAAGAAAATAATAACCTTGTTTTATTGTTAAACAAATGGTTTAAATTGTATTAACTTTAACAAGATGAAAATAAAAATAATATGAAAAATAATGAAATTCAAATGACAGTTGAAGAATATTAGTATTTTAGTTGTATGACTATCCAGTAGAAAGGTTGTAGATTTTTTTTGGGAACTCTTTTTGTTACATTACATCTTGTTAGTTATTGAGTAATGTAATACTTTTCACTACATTATCTATAAACAGAGTAATAATGAATTAAATTATAAATTTTGTAAACTTTACTTCAACTGCAAATAAAAATAAATCTTGTTTGCTGAAATAAAAAAAATAATCATGTTGATAAAATAAAATTCAAATCTATCACTGAAATAGTATATAAATATTTTATTTCAATAGATATCACTCAGATAACAGCCATGCAGGTATCCAAAGAAGATTCAGCTGGAGATGAAATTTCTAACAGTGACAATAATCATTACCAATTTTCCTTTGATGAGGAAATGAGTGTGAGCCACCGTATTTTCAGCCATGCAGGTGAGTTTATAAATTATATCTAATTGTTCAAAAAAGTGGTTGGAATTGACCTCTCATTAACATTTTCACACTATTTTGCTTTATTCACCAAATAGAAATGCAACAAAAACATCACAAAAATTTAGTATTTCTGCACATTTTTGTGCACCCTTTTACTTAAAACCATTTTCTAAAATTGAACTTTGAGACTTTAAATTCTGCCCTTCTTCCAACCCACACATGAACAACAACTTGGAAAAAAAAAATTTTAAACGGAAAAAGATATTACTGGATATATTTAAATATAATCATATATCAACTAGTAGTCCACTATCTTTTCAAGTGCATTGCTCATAACAAAACCTTATTTTGACAGAACCTTCAACTATGTCAATGCAAGCCTCTGAAGAATCAGTCAGCTCTGTAAATATGAGTATGGAATCAGAACCTTTAGAATATTATAAAATGGATGCACATCCTCGAGGTTTGTAAATTGTTTTTATTTTTTTTTTATGCTAGAAAATTGTTAATAAAGTTAAAAGACTTACTGCTTTACTGGTTTATATTTCGAAATGTATACCTGATATGAATTATGTCTGTTACAGTTTAGTTTTTAATGTTCTAAATGTCTAAAAGTTTTGTGAGTATGAAATATTAAACTGCGAGTCATACCAGAGATGAATCAAATTAAATCACTTAAGTCAACCTTTTGACTAGTTAAAACATGGAAAATAATTGATAAAATTGAAAAATTTTATTTCTTTATTTTTTTCTGATTATACTTTATAATTTATTAATTATAAGTAAATACTCTTATTCACTGAGTTTAGTTTATATCATATCTAATTTTATTGAATTCACACCTGCTGAGGATTAATACTAAAATTTATAGTCACTGCTTTACTTTTACCAATTTTTAAGACGTGTGCTATCTGCACCACTTATTGATAAATATATCTTTTGTTTGACCAGGGATATGTCTTATAATTGACAACCAAAAGTTTTCATACAACCCAGATGACCCACATGCCACCCAATTGTGTGACAGACTTGGGTCAGAGAAAGACAGTGGTAAGAGATATTTTAACGTCAAAATTAACTCTCACATGTTTTTTTAAACACTGAGAGAATGGGTGGATATTTTAACAGATCTATGTTTTTTAACCAGTGAAATTGGGTGGATATTAACTTGACTAGAATGAATAAACTATCAGATCTGCATTCTCTAAACCATTAAGAGTAGGTAAATATTTGAACTTAAAATCTTGAATAAAATGTCCTATCTATAATATTTAATCAGTAAGAGTAGATGTGTATTATATGGTTAGAGTACTCAAATATGGCAAGGCCAAAGTGTTCTGCAGTATAATTGTTGTGTGTTGTAAAAGCAGATGGAATACACACAGTGCTGACCGTAACATTCCTGAATGTTGCTATTAACACAAGTAAAATAACTCTATTCCTTGGTTATCTCTTCTTGAAAAATCCAACATTTCTTAACTAACTATAATATTTTGATTTTTAAATGGGGTAAATAATTTCATACTTGTATATTAAGGGTTGTCCATAAATGATGTTACACTCATTGGGGGAGAGAGGTCGTAATTGTGTGAGTGTGGCTGATGGGGGGGAGGTTCAGATGGTGCGATGTCACACTCTTGCATTCTAAAAAAGCAATGTTAGAAAATAAGTTTTAGCCGTTATTATGCGTTTAAGAAAACTGTTTTAATTAATTGTAATAGGAATTGATTAAAATACTCTATGTTGACAGAGTTCAGATAAAATTTAGGAAAAATATTGATGTTTTAAGAAAAATTCAACTGCATTTCTGAGGGGGTGTTGTAAGCTGAGGTGTGATGTCGTTTTAGGGAGGGAGGGTCTGGCTTTTTATGACGATGTGTGATGGATGTGGTAAAAATCTTTTTTAAAGGTGTAACGTTATTATGGATGACCCCTTGTCTCTCATTTTATGAAACATTTTGGTGTTTTTAAATCTATTTACAGAAGCACTAAAGAGGACTTTTGAAGCTCTGAATTTTATTGTAGAATTAAATTTGAACCTTCAAGCTCACAGTATGCTTGAAGTCTTTAAGCAGGCTAGCCAGGCCCAACACAGAAACTATGATTGTTTTGTTTGCTGTATACTCTCACACGGAGGGGAGGGGTTTGTTTACGGTACCAACGGCCACAAAATACCAATTAAAAGAATTATAGAGATGTTTAGGTAATTTTTAGATTGTAGATATACAATTTAGTATTGCAATTTTAACTTGTAAATATACAATTAAAGATTGTAATATTAACTTGTAAATGTACAATTAAATATTGTAATATTAACTTGTAAATGTACAATTAACCATTATAATAAAAAAAAAGTAAAGATTCCTCTTTAGTCCTAACGATCCATTTGGCAGATGAAGTGGAGTTCATATGTTTCTTGACCTACAGCATATAAAGGGATAATGTGGTCAAACTATGCCCAGCTGACTTTACTTTCCCTAATGTGAGTTAGGTACCCATCAGAGCTGGGTGGACTCAAGGACATTCCAGTAACTTGAATCCGGATTCGAACTTGAAACTATTGGGTCAGCAGTCTAGCGCTCCACCGGCTAGGCCATGCCGTCCCATTACCATTATAATATTAACTTGTAATTTACAGATTTACATTTAAAGAATTCAAGTTTAGAGTTTTTAAAAAATTCGACTCCTATGTTACAAATGTTAACAGTAATTTAAATTTTTACTTAAAAGCAAAAATATGTTACAAATGTTGTAATTTAGACTTTAGGATACATTACTTATGTTACAAATTATCATTGTAATTTTAACTTGTAGTTTACAGAAAACATCACTCTGTCACTAATGTTTATTAAAATTTTACCTTGTAACTTACAGAATACAGAACTGTCCACAACTTGCTGGAAAACCCAAACTATTTTTCTTACAATGTTGTCGTGGTAAAGAACATCAACAGGGTAATTTTATTTTTCTAAAGCTGAGAGGATATTTTCTACAGTTTGAAATTGCACTATAATTTATGTGAAGATTAAAGAGATATCTTCCATAAACTCTTGATTGAGGCTAACTTTGGCACCCATGTTAAAATGTGTGACTGTGGTGTAGCTTATTAGCCCAAACACCCCCTCCCACAGTATCTAAACTAGGTTGTTTAGGAAGGAAAATTCCTGAGGAAACAAACTGCTCATTTGCTGCTGCAAACATGACTAATATATGTTGCTTAAAAGTGTGCTTTTAAACATGGCCATAATTTATTTTAAAATATCTTTTCTTTGTAACATCATGTTAGTCTCCCTGGCTAAAAAGTGTGGTTTTAATTTTTTTTTAAATGTTTTATTTTCAGCCTTTCTTCCGCCTGAAATTGAAACTGATACACCCCTGCCTGAAGCACCCATGGAACTGATGATACCCAACGAGGCAGATTTTTTATTTGGATATGCCACTGTAGCAGATGCTGTGTCATACCGCAGCAAATCTGCTGGGACATTTTACATCAATGAACTGACCAGAGTTTTGAATGAGTATGCCAGAAGGTAAGTTTTTGTTGTAAATATTTTTATCTAAATAAAAAATAGTATCCTAGAAAAATATTTGGATGGATAAATTTATGCCATTGTATGTGAGGCTTCCTGGTGTTAGTGTAATGCCAGTCTGTGTTAATTTTTATGATATGTGAAATTTAATAAATCTTAACTAGAGGCATAGTTATTTGAAAGAAAAACAAAGTTTACATTTGTAATTACTGAGAATTCAGATTGCTTATGATTTTGTAATTAGATATTTACTTATTATTAAAAGCTATATTTTAATATAATTTCAACTTTCTAGGTACGACCTGTTGACGCTGCTTACACTTGTAAACCAAGGTGTGTCTAAACGAATGTTCAGTGAAATCAGAGAGGGGAGACAAATTGTTTACAAGCAGGTTCCTGCACCACAATATACTCTTCTTAAAATGCTTAAATTTTTCTAATAATGTATCCACTGTACGTGTGGCAACACTTTTCACTATATTTATTCAACAAATTAAAAAAATACATATTTTACAATGATCCCTCTAGTTCAGGGGTCTCCAAACTATGGCCCATGGGATGCGGCCATTGAGGTCCTCTCATACGGCCCGCAGAGATCTTTTTGTCCACGTAAAAAAATGTTTGTTAGACTATCAAACATTTTTTTTCAAACATTTTCTGTCTGGTGAAGAGTGGGTATAGAAACTGGCCTCCGCTGTAGACTAAACTAGCGATTTAAATTTTCTGCACCCAAAACTACAAGCGATGGAATTCTAGTTTCTGATCTATACACCCACCTAAAGGCTTTCAGATCCAAACTTGGCATGTATTTGGAACAAGTAAAGGACAACAACTTGACGATTTTTCAACCGTGCTAGGTCTTCATGGCTGAAACAACAGCTGATTTCCCAATAATTAAAGACCTCCAGCTGCAGTTTCAGTGGCGGTTTTCTGACTTAGATTAAAAGACAGAAGAAGTGAGATTGTTTCAAAACCCATTTGAAGCAAATGTGACCAGTTGCCGTGATGAACTGAAGCTGGAGGTCACTGAATTGCAAGCAAACGATCTCCTTAGAAACTACTTCAAAGAAGGGCGAGTGGGTTTTTATGTTTTTGACCAAGGAAGACTTTCCTAATATTAAAACTACCTTTCAAGTTTTGGAACAACTTACCTGGGTGAACAAACATTTTCAAGAACAAGTTGAGAGCAAACTTGGACATCTAGTGCGTTGTCGGCCCCAACAGTGGGTTTTTTTTTCAGAATTTTTTCTCCAGGCGGGGGGGGGGGGGGGCGCTTGAAATTTGTATATATTTCTATATATATACTACATTTCTTTGACGGAAGGAGTGGAGGTAGACGGTCTTTGGGAGGGGAGGGGGGCTCCGCCACCCCAAAGATATCCCTGGAAGAAACTTGCCCCCGAACTGATATTTGATAGTTGATGCGGCCCTCGGTTTGAAAAGTTTGGAGACCCCAGCTCTAGTTGAACAAAAATGAAATATGATTAATATGTCATCCCTGAGACATTTTTTTTTAAGATTGAAAAGTCCAGTTTAAAAAAATCGAATGCTTGTTCAACAATTGCTGCTTGTTTTGTAAATGTGTAAAATAGTTTCAAGTTTAAATACCATCTCACTTGATCACACAAGTCACTTTGTTGCCCAGTATAGAACATCCACCACGGAGATTGTGGACAAAATTATTTTAATTTTCCAACATCACAAATCATTTTTCTTATATATTGTTTGATGATCTCATCTTGAATCTTTTTGTGCCATACAAGTCCAAATGAGCTTTTGAAATATTTTATACGCTGAGTGCTGTGTTGTATGTAAATGTCAGTGGGTAGAACCACAATAAATTATTTTGTTTATACCAGAAGCAGCACATTGTCTTACTGTATACATTAAAATTGTGTTGACATCTTTTTAAAAATGTATTTTTTTTCATGTCACTGATACATTGAGATTTACGAGCCCTCATACTCACACAGATGACAATATCATTTGGTAAAAGTTTCGTTTCCCCTTCCAACACAACCTCAAATAGGGCCCTTGAAGTTTGAACTCCATTTTGTGTGGTTAAAAAGTATAGTAATAAAAAAAAAATCATGCTCCTAGTGTATGAATGTTGTGCCAGAATGCATATATTTCAAAACTTTTTGTATTTTTACTTGGAATAAAACTCTGTCGAATGTGGTTTGAATAAAAGTGTACAGTATTAGAAGTGGGTATGATCATCTGAGCTGAAGGGCATAACTGCTCACATACATATAAGTCATTATAAGTAGACTATATGATGAATTTTAAAAATGTATGTATTTACATAAAGTTTTGTTTTGCAGTATACAATAAAACCTGAATAGGTACATTACAAACATCAAAGTGAAAAACATTTGTTTTCTACTTTTTTTTAATGAATGTAAGTTTAAAAATAGCTTATCACTTTTAAAACTTAATCACTTTGGGGTATATCAAAGAAAAGCATTTTTTAACTTCAGGAAACAAACCAACAAATATTATACATCATTAGGTAAAATGTAAATGCCAATAATCTCATCTCACCAAACTCTACAGATGTCAATAAGCAACATGATTAATTTTATTTACAATATAACCTCAACATTTTTTTTCTTAGAAGTATAAAAGATAATTATGTACACTATTTCACACAACACAGAAAAATGTATAGTTTGTGTGTGGCTGATTATATTTATAATGATTTATAGCTAAACATATTGAACCATAATTTGAGTAACTAAAATTATCATACAAATAAACATAATAGCAGTAAATAAAACCTGAGGAATGCACAGCTTTAACTTATGTATTTTTGTAAGGCTTAATTTTGTTTTAAATATTGCATTCAATTTTGTATGACTCAAAGGTTCACTTCACAAGTATTTTTATTCACATATAAAAATTATACCACTAATTTTTTATAAAAATCTTTTTAAAAATGTTGACAAAAAATACAGCAAATAATTGCTGGTAAGGCTATTTGCCAAACTAACAAGTTTACAAATAAAGTGACATAAAAAAATACATTTTCTTGTTGTGTTGTAAATTATTTTTTTTTATATAAAAAATAAGTGCTACTATATGCACATATGTGTTAAAAATATTCCCATACATAAAAATTTTGGAATTAAGAAAACATTAAAATTAAAAAATCAAATGTACAAATACACAGTAGCTTAACTGAACACTCAAATAGCCATATGCATTTAAATCTTCAGTTCAGTTACATATAATGCATAAATCATAACAAAACTGAGTCATTCGGCAGTAAATGATTAACCTTGACCTCTCTATCACTCCCTCACCCCTGTAGTACTAATTTCTTCAAAATGTACTAATGCAGGAAAAAAAGATGTGCTTAAAATAATATCAATCTATAGTTTTAAAAATGACAAAATGATCAAATTAAAGAATGTTACAATTTTATAAAAAAAAGTAGAACTGGAATGTTTAATTACAGCAGGAGATGATTATGTTAAGTTTTTTGACAATGATTCTTGAAGCTGATTGCATAGATGACAGTGCCAATGAAGGAGCTATGAAGTAAAGATATTGCAACCAATTTGTTTAGGCAGAGAGTCGGTTCTTTCGTTTTTCATTTTCTGGCTTGCGATAGTCAAACAGGCTGAGAGCTTTCACGTCTTTTGCATAGTCCAGAGACTCAACAAAGAGTTTAGCAACCTGTATGAAGGAAACAAAAAGATGTTTTTCTGATTAGTCGAAATATTGAAACATTTAAAATTGTTTTGAAATATTATATGAGTGTTATAAAAAATTTAATATTTCACAAAAATGTAACTTTAACAAGATCTGCATAAGAATTTGAAAATCCAGTCTAATTTTTATAGTGTTTAAAGCAAAACAAGTTTAAACAAAAAAAAAATATTTCATTCACGCTAAACAAATGTGATGTTTATTAATTCTTCAACTTATTTAGTTAACATTTGTTTTATTAGTCACCACTCCTATTACTTTAAGCATTATTTATGTCATAAACTGGATTAAACTGAATAATGTTTAACATGTTTTAATCAATATTATTTACATTTTATGTGCCTTTTACAATGAAAATTCTTACCTCAAAATTTGTAATAAGAGGTACACCAGCATCAATTGCTGCCCTTCTGATGAGATAGTTGTCATAAACATATTTGGTTTTCTGATTGGGTAGGTTGATTACCAGGTCAATCTTCTTCTCTTGGATCAACCTAAAAAAAAATAAAAACTTTACAATTAAAAATATCTGAACCAATTTATTACCACTGACTCATGCTGTTTCACTTTAAAATTTTAATTGATTACTGTTTAATTTTTTTTTTAATTCTAAGACTGATATTAAAATTAGAAAATAAAGATTTAAATATTTCTAACGTGTCAATGAAAAAGAAATTAAGATTCTTAAATAACTCATTTTATTGAAGTTTAAATTTGTCTATGTTTTAAAAGTAAATGAAGTAGTCTTTACTTAAAACAGTCTTAGCATAATGTTAGAATCATTATAATATACACAATATAATACCATAATTTTTCGTCTATAGTACAGCTATAAACGCTAAACCTAATTTTACCTATATAGTGGTATTTCTAATATACAAAAACTAAACATATTGATTTTGACTGTTAATACTGGAACTATTTGAATACGAATCTACAGTGAATGCTGAAATATTAGAACTAACTCACTTGATTGGTGATGAGAGATCACCTTGATCCTGGGATGTCCAGCTTACAGGTGTGGTTGGAATGTAGTGGACGTCCAGGTATTCAGCTGTACGCTCTGTGGCAAACATCTGGGGGTGGAAGAAATGTTATACATGACATGGTGTGATCATGTAGTAGCTCACTAAACTTCTTCTTCTTCGTTCTTAATTTTTAGTGTTGGAAGGGATCGAGCCTTAAGCTTTTGCCGACTCGACCACGCCTCCATCACAATAAAGGATACGTGTCAACTGGTTATGCGCCATTGAGGCCATTGACTCCGATTTCAGCCTGCTTTTCTTTTTGGATTTGCTTACATAGCCTTTGTCCAACCAAGAACAAACTACAAGGCAGCAGTTTGATTTTGGAGTTGTCTCTCCTAGAAGAGTTGCTGTCCCCAGCTAACGAGCCTCATCTGCCCGAGGGTTCGAGCTCAAGACTTTTTGGATTAGCAACCATGAGCTTTACCGACTCGACCACGCCGACCCAGCTCACTAAACTATGATTAGTGTTATCAGGTCTTTGTTTTATCGTCAGCTAAACGTTGTGTTGTCTAGATACCCCTAGACAGAAGAACCAAACATCATACAGTAGCTGACTATACAAGGTTCTTATCAGAATGTTAGGGCACTCATGAATAGGTACCAGGCATTAAAGAAATTAGGAAAGAAATTTGTGCTGACCACCAAAATTTAACTTTGTAGATCTTTTACAAGCTGGCATGTTTTCAAAACTAATGTCAGGTAATGGTAAAAGGATGCCAAAAATAATTGGTTCAACCATCAGGAGTATTGATTTATTGAAAGAAAACCTAGAGCAATAGTTAAGATGGCCCATTTTTTGATACAGCAAGAAATTGAAAGATATGGTTTGACATTCAAGAAATTTGACGCATTAGCAAATTGGCAGCATGCCCAATGTTAAAATGGTGAAAAATTATTTGTTGTTTTTTTTTTTTTATAATTTAGTTGGCACCGACCTGATAGCCTTTCTGACTGAGTTGTTTAGCCAAAGGCAGGAAGAATGGGTAGTAACTCTTCTGTGCACCAACAAGGATGTTACCTCCCTTTGGTGGAAGTTTGAAGCCTGCAGACATCAAAGCCTTCAAGAAAGCTGTATACTTAGTGCGGCCAAAGCAAGCCACCTGCAAAAAACAGCAGTAGGAAAATTATTCCATTACTTCCTAAAACATGAATAACTTTTGGTACAGTATTGGTTTCCACATTCTTATGACTAAATCCTAGCACTACTGGTTTTAAAAGAAACAGTAAAAAAACAATTTTTACCGTCACTAATTTGATTAATGAGTTTAACAAAAACTAAAATTCACAATTTTGTATTCTTAACACCTAAACTAACTTGAGATATAGATCTAATTCGTACAATGAAATTTATTGAAATTATATTACCACACTATGTATGAATTAGTTGGGTTCCTCCAAATAATTGAAATTAGTCATAATTTAAGTCTTGTACTATATCATATTTGGCAAAAACTTACCTCCCCTGTGGAAGCCATTTCGCATTTGAGAATGGGGTCAGCATCTCTTAGCCTGGGCCAGGAAAACATTGGTGCCTGGATTTGTTGAAAAAAAAGGTGAAATAATTTTGGTTTTACACAATTAAAATATACTTTTGCATGTGGTTTATAGGCACATTGGTTTATTATGTTCAAATGGTTTTATTTTATGTTATAAAATTATTTTTAAAAACAGGGAGGTTGATCATAAAAAGTGAGGATCAATTTCCACATAATCAAGTCTTTTATTGGACTGATGAAGATTTTACCAATAGCTAAAACAAATACCAAACTGCCATTTTCTCAAGCTGAATTTAACTACTGGTCCTACTAAGATTGTTTCTAGACTCAAATTATTTGTGCTAGAATTCTTTGGATACATTGTAGTGTCATTCATTATTGTAATAAATAAAATGCATTAAATTCAATAAATGACACAAAAACAAATACATACCTTAATACCAACATAATGAGTTGGGTCATGAGAGTTATCAAGTGTGGGCAAATCCTTCATGTTGATTGGCTCCTTCATCATGACTTTGGTAGCCAGAGCTATGAAATCTGTATCAATTGTTTTTGAAACAAATGGACAAGACCGGGATGCCCTGAGGTTCAACTCAATTACCTGCACAGATTTAAAGTAACCATTGAAATCTCCGCTTGATAAATTAACAGAACAAAAACACATGTTACTTATGAACAGAATCGCACTAATTTCTCCCATGATGTGACACTTACTTGAACATCGGTGTCTCTGACAAGGAACTGGATGTTAAATGGTCCTGAGATGGCAAATTTTTTAGCTATTCTGGCAGTGACATCTTTCACCTGTGAGAAAAAATAAGATGGCATTTATTTCATAAAATATTTAATGCCACGGTGCTGTTTTATTTATTGTTTTATCGTGCTGTTAATAAAAACAACGATAAAGTTAATTATTTGTTACTATTAGATTACTATTTTAATTAAAAATTTCTATATGCAGCAAAGAATTCTTGTATACGTTTGTAATATCATTACCATCTCAAATAACCAAAGTATTTTAATTTTTTTTTTGAGCTTTTAAAATGTATCTGCACTTATATATTTCTTTATGTTTACGTTAAACTTTTCCGTCATTAAACAATGACAAAATATAAACACAAGATCTGCTGTCTAAAACCTACAATGGCTAGAGCTTCCTCTTGGATGGTCTGTGCTGGCATCATTAAAGTAGCGTCCCCACTGTGAACACCTGCGTTCTCCACATGTTCACAGATGGCATGACAAATTACCTGCAGGTCACATAAAAAAAAGGTAAAAATAAAACAACTGTTTTTAAAAATTCATGAATGTATTTGAACTCAGAGCTGGGGATGACTGCAGATTGTCTGCATGTTGCATGACCCTCTAATGTATACATCAGTGGATTTTAACCTGGGTTCCATCAAACCCCAGGGGTTTAGTAAATCATTCTCAGGGGTTCAGCTGAGGTCAAGACACACACAAGACTTATTTTACCATGATCGGATTTTTTCAGTGCGGACAAACAGAACAATTAAAAATGGTTTGGTGAATGCATATTAGAAACTCGTTGGGCACAGTAACTCCAAAAAAGTTAAGAAACACTGGTATACATATTAAGAAAAGAAGTGGGTAGTAACTGGTAGTGTGTGTTAAATAATGTTATACTTAGTGTGTTAAATTTAAGACAAAGTATGTGTTGATAATTTAGACAAAGTATGTGTGAATAATTTAGACAAAGTATGTGTGAATAATTTAGACAAAGTATGTGTGAATAATTTAGACAAAGTATGTGTGAATAATTTAGACAAAGTATGTGTGAATAATTTAGACAAAGTATGTGTGAATAATTTAGACAAAGTATGTGTGAATAATTTAGACAAAGTATGTGTGAATAATTTAGACAAAGTATGTGTGAATAATTTAGACAAAGTATGTGTGAATTTATTTAGACAAAGTATGTGTGAATAATTTAGACAAAGTATGTGTGAATAATTTAGACAAAGTGTGTGTGAATCATTTAGAAGTGTTTGTGGAACTATGTTACACTTAAAAAAGTAAAGTAAAGAATCCTCTTAAGATCTAGTGATCTATTGGGCAGATGAAGTAGAGTTCAAATGTTTCTTGACCTTGGCATATGAAGGGAAGGTGCAGTCAGCACTTTGCCCATCCAACTTCACCATGAGTCTGGTACCCATCAGAGCTGGGCCAATTCAGGGAAATTATACTGACTTGAACCTGGATTCAAACTCAAGATTTTCGGGTTAGTAGCCTAGCTCTCTACCACTCAGGCAACGCTGTCTCATGATGTTACACTTAGTATGTAAAATTTGCTTGTACCTCTCCACTATTGGCAACAGCATCCATCTCCACCTCACGGTATCCAGTGTAAAACTGTGTGATGACCACTGGATACAGGCTGGACACTTGAGTGGCTTCCTGCAAGTATGTCCTCAGCTCTTGTGGTGTGTAGGCAACATTCATGGCTGAACCTGGAATAAATAAACGTAAAAAAATAATGTTTTCAAAAGGGTAACTTTACTAACTGGATTATGCTGAACTAAGGTGGCTGGACATGGTGCTGGCCACACTATCCCCCTGGATGCTGATTGAAACAGATTAACTCTACATCATCTGCACCATGTATCATGGGCATGAAGGGAAAATTTGATGATGAAAAATTATTTTACGAAACATGTTGAGCTCATATTTTAGTTTTTTTATTTTATTTCAAAGTTATGACACAACACAACATTTTACCAGAGCTAACATGTAATATTTTGTAAAAAAAAAAAATTCATAAAACTTATTTACGATTGAAACAAATGCAGTAGCTTTATTTTTTTAAATGTAAGATATTTTGGCTGAATCAAAATACATGGTTTTAACCAAGCTGTGTTGACTGTTGATTGTTTCTTAAATTACTTATTTAATTAGTAGTTATTTTTATCATTTTTTACAAGATTATAAAAATACCTGATAAAATGTAGGATGGCCTGAGCAGACAGGGATATCCAACAGAGCCAGCGAAGTCAAGAGCTTCTTCCTGTAAATATCACATTGATGATACATAGGAGTTACTAGGTACGTTTAAAATTCTAATTCTCTAAACCAGTTATCTAATAAAAATGTGTTTGATCATGATATAAAAAGATAATTATAACCTACGTTTGAAATTTTGAGTTTAACAACACAACCCCCCCCCCCCCCCTTAAACTGCAAGTTTAAAAACAAATATTAAGCCACTAACATGAATACTTGGACTCAGGGACGGTCTACTAACTTGAACCTGGATTCGAACTCAAGATTTACGGGTTAGCAGTCCAGCTCTCTACCGCTAGGAAACTCAACTCATGGGTACCTAACTCAAGTTAGGGAAAGTAAAGGCGGCTGGGCATAGTGCTGACCACACTATCTCTTCATATGCCGAGGTCACAGAAACAAGTGAACTCTACTTCACTTGCCATATAGACCGTGACCGTCAGGTTTGAAAATGGAACTTTTACTTAACATGAATACTTAAGCATAGAACAAGCTAAAGTCTATGCAGATATGGCCAGTTGTACTTACAATAGAGCTAAGTGCTCGCCACTGTGGTTGTTTGATCTTCAACTCATCACAGATGGCAGAGAAAACACTTCGATTTTCTGCATTGTCAATCATTTTTGGACTTGTGCCAAGTATCTTGACTCCATTTTTATACAGAGGAAGGGCAAGGTTGTTTGGAATTTGTCCACCAACAGAGACTATTGTGCCAAGACTATTCTAAAAACAACAAAAACATTACAAAGTAAATAATTATTTTTTTGTAGCGTCCAACTTGGTAAGTAATAGTAATGCCTTCAATGGAGATTTGTTAAATAAATAAAATTATTAATAGTTATGCTTTAAATATAAAGAAACTGTACATAAATTCTACAATGTGCATGAGCAATTTATATTAGTGTAATATTTGTAAATTAAGGCTTTATAAATGTTATCTTGCTTATACTAAAAAAAAAAACTCTGATCAAGTAATAGGTGACTGCACTTGAAATAGTTTAAAACAGTCATAACAAAAAATAACTATTTCTTACCTGTAATCAAATCAAGTATTCAGTTGCCTAAGCTTTATTGCAGTATTACTGGACTAAATATTGATGATTGATCCAAACAAAGTAATGACTGATCCAAACAAATTTGACATAAAGAAATTAAAACAGCACTAACCTCATTATGGTAGATGTCCAGGACCCGCTCCAGTGAGAGTTCCTCAAAGTAAAGTCTGTCACATTCATCAAAGTCAGTGCTGACAGTCTCTGGGTTGTGGTTGACAACAATCTGCCAGATACAGAAGCTTATTTTAGTATTCTTAGCTCAGAATCTTTGATAAGTGTGTATTCAAAGACGTTTTTTAAAAAATAGTCTACATGAATAAGGTGCAACCCACTGAGTGGAAATGTTTTAGAAAGATTATACAGATGTATAGTAAAACTGTTCTCATATTTTGAAGTAACTAAGAGTACCCCATAACCAAGTTATTGGGATAAAAATATGGTTTAAAAACTTTTCCAGTGAAAATTCATTTTAAGCTGATACTGCATATAGGACATGCAGTGGTTGTTTCTTCTAAGCTAGAGCTCAATATTCTTTTCTTTATGTATCAGGGTTGAATATGCTTAAGGACATACTTGAAGCCATAAGTGAAACTTAAGACACATATTGCAACTCAGCTGGTTAAGAGAAAACTTTCAATTCAACCTAATGATTGTATCTATAAAATGTAAATGTGAATTACCGTCTGATGCCCCATTTTTCTCAGCTCACGAATGCATGAAACAGCACACCAGTCAAACTCAACAGAGCTTCCAATGTGGTAGGGTCCACAGCCAAGGACAATAACTCCACTGTTATTGAAATCAACATCATGCTCCTGTTTGGTTCAAGGAATCAAATAAAAAAAGAATGATCAAAATGAATTATCACAAAATAAAATTGCTATGAAATCTAAAACAACCCTTCTAACCAGCAATGTAGCAAAAAGGTGATTAATATCCAGGTTATAACAGTGAAACATTGTTGTATCGTAGCTTGGGAGTGTGTTTTTGAGATTGCATCAGAAAAGGACGGTAGCTGTGCGCATGCGTGAGAAGGTAGAGAGAGAAAGAACATGGCGTAAGTTGGCTGTACACGCTGTCTATGTGGAGACAAAATAAAATGTATATAATGTAAAAGAAGGCTCGTCTTGTAATTTCGTATGTGATAGATGAAAGGTAGGGAAAAGGCCTGTGGCAAATTTATAGCGTGAACCCAGTCACACACAAAAACCCTGTGACACAGGTAATCTAGCACATACCATTCCATTGTAGGTAAGATACAGGTAATTGGTTCTGGCAGGGTATTCTGCAGCCATTGTATCAATCTATTAATTAAAGGAAAAAAACAGAAGTATTAGAAGTTAGTTAATTTATAATTGTATTGGGCTTTTTTATTAATATTTTTTACAATGCACAGAATTAGTCCAATTTTTCATCCTATGATTACCAACAAAACACTTTAGAACAAAAATTTGATTGTTTTATATAATGTTAGTTATAGTTCATTTAAAAGTATGTTTGTTACTGTAAGTTTCTTTAACAGTGTCAGTTACCTGTTTGACCCAGGGTTTGACAGACCAGTAGTGTCTCATTTTTCTGATCTCTGATTCAGGAAGTCCCCAGACTTTACCAATCTGTATGTCTGAAAAACCTGCCTGTTTGGACAGCTTTAAAACATCTTTGTGTTTCTCCCTGAAAATATGTAACATAGTATTTTACGTAAAAAATTGGGAAATTTAAAAATTTATAAAAACAATATAAACAATTAAACAAATTAGTGTCCCTTACGTACTACTGCATAATTCCCAAACTGAGCAGTTTTACATTTCTGTACTACATACCCTTGTAGTGGAGTTTACACTAATACAGGCTTTCATGAAAATAGAAAAACTTACTCTTTAGAATGTTCCAGCATTTTCTCCACCTCTGTTAAGTACTTGAGTTTGTGCAGGAACCATTTGTCTATTTTTGTGAGGTTGTGAATAGTATCAACAGTGTAGCCTGATTGTAAAGCCTGAATAATAAAGTACTCTTTTACTCAATTTTTCTGTATACAATAAAAATACTACCAACAAAAGAAAAAGACTTACTTTTGTTATTTGTACCTGGCAGCTGAGCTTCAAACTTATTACTAAATTAATCCTAATACTAACCTAACCATCACGCACCAATAACAAAGGTAAGTATTAGTATGCTTGAGACTAGCTTTAACTTTATGTAGAATAGTATATAAAAATAGTGAATAGAGGAATTTTAATGGTTCAGGACTAGAATAGAAGTTCTAAACCCAGGTAACACTTTCTGGTTAATTTCTGGAACTTATGAGATAAATTGTTAAAAAACTAAAATAATCATAAAAGACTGACAGATAATAGAATACAAACAACCAGTTACAATATAATGTTTACACTTACAAACAATTAAATAGAAGTACTCACAAATTTTTAAAAATGAGAACAAATCAATAAATGCTACAGTGTATTTAACATAGACACAGGTCTACATTCAAAACAGACTGCATGAGTAAACAAAATCAATGAGTCACCTTAGCAATGGTGTGTATCCTAACATTGTTTGGTACGCTGAGGTTGGCATCAATGTTGAAGTCCTCAGGGTAGGGTTTACCAGCTGGCAGGTTTGGTGTGAACCCAGTGACTGAGGGGTGGGTCATTCTCAGAGCTTTCTGGAGGCTTTCTTCAAAGGTACGACCAATGGCCATTACCTACAAAGGTTAAATGTTCAGGTGAGTTATTTTTCTAATGCTGCTGAGGAAATTCAGATATTTAGACTTAGGTAACTCATATTCTAAATATTTTTTAAAAATTTAACTGATGTGCTAAGTAGTTATACTTAATATTGATGCCTTAAAGATATATTTATTTATTTTTAAATTAATCAATTTCATTCTTATCTAAAAACAGACTGAAAAATCTAGAAAAACATTTTTTCTTGGTAGAAATATTTGCTATCTTAATTATTTAGTAAGTAAAGTTTTCCTTTCAACCTGACGGTCTATGGGGCAAGTGAAGTAGAGTTCACTTGTTTTTGTGACCTCGGCATATGAAGCGATAGTGTGGTCAGCACTATGCCCAGCCGCCTTTACTTTCCTTAACTGAGTTAGGTACCCATCAGAGTTGGGTGGACTCAGGGACGGTCTACTGACTTGAACCCAGATTCAAACTCGAGACTTATGGGTTAGCAGTCCAGCTCTCTACCACTAGACCACTCCGTCCCATAATTTATTTAGTATTTGTGTAATATTTAACAATCAAATACAAAATTTAAGCAATTCAGTTATTAAAATATTGCCTTTGGTAAAAAACATCTTTTATTTCTCAAAAGTGTTTGGTAGTTACCTCCCCCACACTTTTCATGGAGCTGCCAATGTCAGAGCTCATGTTCTGAAACCTGGTCGTATCCCAGCGGGGGATTTTTGTGACGATGTAATCCAGGCTAGGCTCAAAACAAGCACTGGTCATCTGGGTGGTGGAGTTGACCAGGCCAGGGAGGTCCAAGCCCAATGCCAGCTTAGCTGCCACAAATGCCAGGGGATATCTGAAAGAACAAATTCATTATTCAATTTATTCAATAACAGTAACAACAGCAGGCACTGAGGCCTTTTTTCATATTGGCCGTTTAAAAACAACAACATAATAACAGCATTGTAATAAAAGTTGATGGTTCTTTGCTAGTAGGAAGTTGGCCGATATTTGTCCTGACTTTGCACTTTCAGCTTTATATTGATCTGATGAACTAGATCTGAGTAAGACCATACATTTTTGTTTATTACTATTTATTATTATTTAATTTTATTCTCTAGTTGTTCTCAATCAGCAGCATCACAAGGCGGGTGTGTTGTCATCATTGTGTGACACCATTTGGAGGGTGACACCAAATTGTAAAAATTACAGTAAAAAATTACAGTAAAAAATAATGTGTTCTCCAGTCAAAATAATGAAATAAATTGTTGGAGTGGGTTATAGAGGTTACACATACAATTATTTCATTAGGTGACTCAGACCTAGGAATGCCAATGATCTAGGCCTATTATTATGTACTCTTAATTAAAATAAATTTAACAACAGTTAATTAAAGAGTTAATTAAACACTTCAGGACTAGACAAGCATGAGTGATGATCCTATCTGTCTGACCAATGTGTTTATCACAACCAATGTCAAACAAAATTCATTCCATTTGAACTGACTTTAAAAAATTAATTATTCATAACCTACCCTGTGGCTTTGGATGCAAGTGCAGAACTTCTGGATAACCTGGCATTAATCTCAATGATACAATACTCTAGGGATTCTGGGTGAAGCGCGTACTGGATGTTGCACTCTCCTATAATGCCAAAGTGGCGAACAACCTGAGAAAATTAATAAAATTTGTATTAATAATGATGTTTTAATTAGTTTTTTTTTTATTTACTGCAAGTTTTACAACATTTATTCAAATGTGTTACCTTTAAAGCTGTTTCTCGGAGCATATGGTACTCAGTGTTAGAGAGTGTTTGGCTGGGGGCTACTACAATGGAATCACCTAAATATAAAAATTGTTCAACATCTTTAAATCATAATATAGCTGTATTTTAAGTTTTATATGAAATATTTATTTATTTATTCATACATATTTTTTCTTTTTTTTTTTTTTACACATTTCAGTATTGTCACACCCTGTTTGTACGGCCAACTTCATGACACAAACTAAAGGCAAATACAAACCACATCACTGGTGATTTTACAATTTTATTGATATCACAGATACAGCAGCTACACTACCAAAACAAACGACTTTCACTTTCAATCTCCCTCACTTCCTCCTTTCTTTTGCACATGCCCCTGCCCACAATATTTTTTAGATTTATATTCCTACATAGCCTTTTTACACCTCCACTCGAAACATACATTCACCCCACACAAATACTCCCACATTTGACTGTTACAAGTATGATTTGACAAACTTCATTTTTAAAAAATTTATGATAATTTTAAAATCATCCAAATGGCTGGAAAATGTTTCACCTGTATGAATCCCCAGTGGATCAAGGTTCTCCATGTTGCAGACAGTCACACAGTTGTTGTAAGCATCTCTGACAACCTCGTACTCCACTTCCTTCCAACCCAGCAGAGACTGCTCCACCAAAACTTGGGTTGTTATAGCAAAAGCCTGAAAGAAATTGGTCAAAATTTATTTTTTATTACTGTAAGAGTAGTAAATTAATGTCAGTTTTAAGTAGCTCTTAACCTTTTATAGGTATCAAATCCCACCAGTTTCACATGCGCATTCAACGAAACCTTCTTAATAGTTTATCGTCTGTACTGACAAAATCCGTTTGTGAATTATTTGAGTCGGGTGTGTGTCTTGACCCCGCATAACGCCTGAGACTGACTCAACTAATCCTTAAGGTTTGATTGAACCCAGGTTAAGAACCGCTGGTCTTAAGGCTTATTAAACTATGTTTAAGCCTGTGTACCATGATGTTGTGAAACTATAACCTTATTTTCTTATTCAAATGAAATTCCTAGTCTTAAGTGTAAACATAACTTGCTTTCCTTTTAAATAAAAATATAATTTAAAACATACGTTGTTAGCAATAGCTCGCAGTTGTATCTCATTGTTGGCTATCCCAGAACCAAGGCCACCGAGAGCGAAAGCTGACCTCAGCATAACTGGGTACCCAATCTTCTCTGCAGCTTTCACAGCATCTTCGGTGCTGTTGACGGCAATACTTGGGGCTAGTTTTTCTCCAATTTCCTAAAAGCATGAAACAATGTCTTAAATTCTTATCCAAATTTTAACATATGCCTCATTTATTTAGTAGATTTTGACGTTAACAATTATGAGCTAAAAAGAATTGCCAAAACTTATTTCCTGAAAAACGATTGATTTTGGCTTATATATATATACTTCTCTAAAATTCAACAGACCAGTTTATAATTTTAGATGTATTTGAGATTATCTATCATCTTGAGCTAAAAAAAAACACTACCACTAAGACACAATTATTAAAAAAAACTACTTACTAAGATTTAGCCGATTCCAAAGCAGTATAAAAATTATTTTACCTTCAGTTTATCAGCAAAAATTTGTCTGTCTTCTGTGGCTTCAACACTAGAAATTGATGTGCCCAGGACTTTGATGTTGTACTCCTTGAAAACACCTTGTCTGTCCAGTTCAAGTCCTGCAACAGACCACACAGTTAATATCATTAGCAATACACACTTTTAACTGCAATCAGAAATTGCTAATAGAGTTTAAAGATTAAACACTTAAAATTTCATTGATTTTAAATATTTTTCTATACCTTTAAGAAAGACAAGCAAAAAGTAATGATTTTCCAATTATTTAAAAGTCTGAAGTAAGATTTTTTAAAATTCCATACATTTTCCAAACTGCATTGGAACCCTATCTATCTTCTTCTTCTTTGTTCTTAATATTTAGAGTTGGAAGGGATCCCCTCCAACACAAGTATATGTGTCAACTGGTTATGCGCCATTGAGGCCATTGATTTCAATTTCAGCCTGCTTTTCTTTTTGATATGCTTTCAAGAACAAACTACAAGGCAGCAGTTGTTTGATTTTGGAGTTGTCTCTCCTAGATGAGTGGCTGTCCCCAACTAACGAGCCTCAACTGCCCGAGGGTTAGAACTCGAGACTTTTCGGTTTAGCAACCATGAGCTTTTACCGACTTGACCACGCAGACACCTTCCTATCTATTTGAAGTAAAACTTAAATAGGAAAGTTATCTTAGGAAGACAGTGAAAATTTAATGGTTTGATTTACCACAATTCAAAGCTATCTGTCCACCCATGGACATGTAAATTTAATGGTTTGATTTACCACAATTCAAAGCTATCTGTCCACCCATGGACATGTAAATTTAATGGTTTAATTTACCACAATTCAAAGCTATCTGTCCACCCATGGACATGTAAATTTAATGGTTTGATTTACCACAATTCAAAGCTATCTGTCCACCCATGGACATGAAAATTTAATGGTTTGATTTACCACAATTCAAAGCTATCTGTCCACCCATGGACATGAAAATTTAATGGTTTGCTTTACCACAATTCAAAGCTATCTGTCCACCCATGGACATGTAAATTTAATGGTTTGATTTACCACAATTCAAAGCTATCTGTCCACCCATGGACAGCAAGATGCCATCAGGGCGCTCCTTCTCAATGACCTGCTTGATGAACTCTGGGCTGATGGGAAGGAAGTAAACTGTGTCTGCTTGCTTCTCTCCTTCAGCGTTGGTTTGTACAGATGCAATGTTGGGATTCATCAGCACCACTTGAATGTTCTCTTCCTGAAAACACATTAACAAAATGGCAAGTTTTTAATGATATTTTTCTGGCAAACAGTAATAATAAGAATATGGCAGATGCTAGCCGGAATAAGATACGCATGCGCAATGGAGAGAAACTACGACTTGCCTTCGCGGCGATGTTTTCGATGGTACTGCGCATGCGTGTGTTTACAACCGCAGAACCCTAACACCAACCCTAACCCTATCCCTAATCCTATCCCTAACCCTAGCCCTAATCCTATCCCTAACCCTATCCCTAACCCTAACCCTATCCCTAACCCGTATCCTACCCCTAACCCTCATTCTAGCCCTAACTCTAGCCATAGGTCACTGCGCATGCGCAAAGTTATCTTTTGCCGACTAAGTGGAGACGTTAGGGAGAAAAATCTTCTTCCGAGTAGACACTTCGTAAGAATATTGCTGATAAAAATATTCAAACACATAAAGCCTAAAGGATATTGAATGAAAATGTGTTTAAATAGTCTGCCTGTTATTCTGTCTGTCTAGCAAAAATATTATTCCAATGATGACAATGTAATGGGATAGATGTATAATGTAGTTTTCTGCATCTAAAAAAATAAGTATATTTAGCCACTCAATTTGTAATAGTTTGAGAGTGAATATTTTTAAAAAGAGTAACCTACCTTCAAAGCTTTAATGGCTTGAGATCCACTGTAATCAAATTCTCCTGCTTGACCAATGGACAAACCTCCACTTCCAAGAACCAACACTTTAGAGACCTACATTTTCCATATTTAAAAACAGTATTATTGGTTTAATAGCCCATTTTAGATAGCTAGTTAGTTTCTAAACTTCTACATTTTATTTGCATTTTACCGTTTGACATTTTTATTTTATTTTATTAACTAAGCTAAACAAAGCAAACCACTTGTTACTGCAGCTACTTTTTATAATAATTTAAAACCAAAATACCAAATACTTTCATAATAGAGTAAAATTTGACTTACATCAACCATTTTATAGTCAGGCTTTTTGTATGAAACTATGTGCGTTAGGGAAGATTTTTTCTCCTTTATCAAATTCATGAAATAGTCAAACAGAAACTGGAGAATAGAAAGTATTTAAAAGTTAGAACAATGAAGGTCTAAATTAAGCATATTACTAGTATTACAGAGAAATAAGACAGTTGAAACATATAAAAAAAAAATCTTGTTATTTAAGTTTCTAAAAATAAATTGATTCTGTATCTGTAAATTAAACTTTTTACTTTTACCAACTCACCTGTGTGTCAGTTGGGCCCCCCCAAGCCTCAGGGTGGAACTGTGCAGTAAAGATTGGCTTTGTCTTGTGCATTATACCCTGTTTAAAAATTCCAATGAAACTTAATTGAAATTTTACTCTTAAAATAATTTTTTTTTTAAACTATAATCTTCTACTTAGTGAAAATTAGCTGTTGATTAAGCCCAACAAAGAAAATTCATTTTAAATAGAATTTAAACACCCCTAATGTACTCAGCATTTAAAATAATTATGTGTTATAGGTTGGCCAACAAAAGACTGCATTACCTCATTAGACTTGTCATTAGCATTGATAAACAACACCTCCCATTCTGGGGGCAAGGTTTTGTTGTCTATAGCATAGCCGTGGTTCTGTGAGGTGATAAAAGCCTCACCACTAAGTAAGTTCACCACAGGCTGGTTATGGCCCCTGAACAAGAGAGAATAAAGAAAATTGATACCATGTTCATTTTGAAACAACACTCATATATATTTAACGAGCCGACCCGCAGCGTATCATACGCCGCTATTTAGTTGTTTTATTTTCTACTTTTCAGTAATTCATAATTTGTGAATTCGACAGTACCAACGCTGCCACTGAAAATATTTGCTTTAAAACACTATCAGTAGCTCGTTAAGGACAATAAAACCCCCTCCTTTCCCGAACCCCTACCCCACCCCCACCCCCTGAAAGCAGCCTCTTCTTAGTTACCTCCCCTAAGTTTAAAATCCTTTCAAACTAAATTATCTGCCCCTAATAGCCGTCACTAAACCCGGCTCTATGATTGTAAACATTTAGCGTGAACCACAGCTTCCCAGACCATGTAGGGGTGGGGGTGGTAGGGAGCGCACTTACAGCTTGGTGTTTTCTATGGTCTCCAAGAAGAGAATTATATATATATAGATGTTCAAGACAAGCATTAGTAAACTAGATATGAAAAATTTAGTGTTGTGTGTATAAGGTTGTTGGTTGAGAATCATAAAATTTCTTTATCAACTTTTCTTGCTCATGCCGAAGACACATGGGGACGATGAAGTAGAGTTCATCTGTTTCAATGACCATGACATACAGGGGGATAGTGTGGTTAACACTATGCCCAGCAGACTTGGATTCCCTAACATGAGTCAGGTAACCTTCAGAGCTGGGTATACTCAAGGAAGTCTCATAGACTTGAGCCCAGGATCCAAAATCAACACTCTCAGGTTAACACTTGTGAGCTCTACAATAGAGATTGTTTACTTTAACTAAAAAAAACAAGAAAAAAAAGGATTGACCTGTTTCCTAGAGGAAGTTTGTAGCTCTGAGCTCCAGCAGCCAGTGCAGTTAGCTGGTTACCTAGGCAGATGCCAAAGATGGGTTCATCTCTGGTCTCTATAGCCTGCAGGGAGATAGTCATTCACAACTGTATATTTATTCTTATATTTTTTTTATAATTTATCAACTACTTTTATAAGGGAGATAATCTTTCAACACTAGAATATTCATTGATAAATTCTTTTAAAAATATTTTTTAAGAATTTATTAACAATTTTGATAATCATTTTTATTTATAACTTAAAATTAATTTATGATAAACTACCCTAACAAACACAAATGCTGATGGAAAAATTAGCAATGCTAAATTATTTGTTTCGTTACCTTGCGCAAGTTGTGGATTGTCTCAGTGGCCAGTGCTGGGTCACCAGGGCCATTGGAGATAAACAAACCATCATAGGGTTCAGTGGAGAAGTCATAGTTCCAGGGCACGACCTTTACCTCAGCACCCCTCTAGGGATATTTAAATTTGTATCGTCTTTGATATACAGAAAAGATTAATTTATTAAGTGTCAATTTTATTGCAAAATTATTTGCAAAGATGAAAATAATTAACTATAAAAAAATTATTTCAGAAATGCAACAAAATAAATATTATAGTGTTTCAGTATTGAACATTAATTTATTATGTTAGTGAATATCAAGTTTTAGGTAGTAATTTATGTCCAGGTATACATTCTTTCTGCATGAATTACAAGAAAGTTATAACAAGTTTATTTAAGAATAGTACCAAAGGCCTGTGTTTCAACTTACCATCAACAAGTGGCGAATCATATTCTGTTTGATGCCACAGTCCACAGCAACAACTTTAACTGGATTTCCTTCACCAAAATAGCAAACCTCCTAGAAGACAAAATATTTAGATATATACTACAATATAACTTGTCAGGTTCTAAGTTTTGTTTTCATAGGGTTAACTCTGTGTGGGTAAAGGATTCTAAATCTTCTTTAAAATATAAATCATTTATTTTTAACATGTAACATTTGTGATACTGTATTCCCTTAAGTATATTAATTTTGCCACAATGAATAAATACTTAATATAAATACTTTTCCATTATTTATTAAGGTTACAGCAAAAAAAAAGGTAAAAATTACCCAGCCTTTAAGGGGATATGCTATGTTTTTTTCTATTTTTTACAGTTTAAGATCTAAAGCCTTTTGAATACTTTTATCATATTTGGCATATAAAAGTAAGTATTAAACAGCAAAAAAAGGGGTCTAAAACTATTTTTGTTGTCATGGAAACCCAAAAAACCTCCGCCATTTTGAATTTTTCGGTACTTTTAAAAATACTAAGGCTTTTTTATTTATGCACCTATAGCAATCAAACTTAAACTGCTTATATTTCAGTATATATTAAAACTTTTGTCACGACAACTTTTTGAAATAATTACTAGTAAGAATTTTGCAAGGTCCAGAATGTCGTACCCTTTTTAGTATTCAAAAGTTTCAAAATTTGCATATTAATTACCAAATACTTTTTTTCTATCAAAGCAATCACAATTCCCTCGTGACAAAAGTTGTATTTTTGCATCAAGAACAATTACTGAAAATATGGTTGGCATTGTTTAATAAATAAAAAAGTAGTAGGCTTTTTAGTGTTAAAAACATGCGAACTGAGAAAAACAGCCAAAAGTAGCGAAAACTAGGTCAAGAAAGTACCATATCTGTGTGAACTGCAAAGCCGATTGTAAGCTTTGGGTGTTTCCGACATGTAGGAAATTAAGTTTATTAGATACATGAGAAATCCAGCTTTCCAATGATGTCAAATACAATATAATGACGGATAAAAAAACTTTTCATAGAGAGCTTGTAAGATTGGGAAAAATTGATTATTTTTTAATTAATAGGGTCATAAAAATCATAATTCAAACACATACAATTTTTTTTTCTCTTTAAAGTTATTATTTTCTTTATACAAAAATGGACAAAGTATCCAAAAGTGCAAGAAACCGATCATGACGAAAAACAAGAATTTTTGTGATTTTTTTCCGCGCATATCCCCTTAAAACCATCACCTTAATATATATATTTAAAGAGTTTTAGTTTGAAGTATTTATGCATTAACCCTTTAAGGGTGCCAAGCCATGATTGTGGCTTTGCTGTTATATAACTTTTAACGCATAAGGCCACGTGGCTTTAAGGGTTAAAGTAGTTAAGGCAGTATAATATCACAAAATGTTACATGCTAAAAATAAAACCATTACTTCATACTACCTGACAAGACACTTCTTTAATGAGATTCCTAAGATTAGGGTCATCAAAGGCGATTGGGTCATTCTCAAACTCAATCTTCCCCAGTACAGTCCCCTGATCCCTGACAATTTTAGTGATCATCCTGGTGTCAATGCCATACAAGGCTGGGACTTTGTCCTCCTGTAGCCACTCAGACAGAGTCTTTACAGAGTTCCAGTGGCTGGGCTGGTGGCAATAGTCTTGGACCAATAGACCAGCAACCTACAGATAGGGTTAAATACGGGTAGGGTTAAATACAGGTAGGGTTAAATACAGGTAGGGTTAAATACAGGTAGGGTTAAATACAGGTAGGGTTAAATACAGGTAGGGTTAAATACAGGTAGGGTTAAATACAGGTAGGGTTAAATACAGGTAGGGTTAAATACAGGTAGGGTTAAATACAGGTAGGGTTAAATACAGGAAGGGTTAAATACAGGTAGGGTTAAATACAGGTAGGGTTAAATACAGGTAGGGTAAAATACAGGTAGGGTTAAATACAGGTAGGGTTAAATACAGGTAGGGTTAAATACAGGTAGGGTTAAATACAGGTAGGGTTAAATACAGGTAGGGTTAAATACAGGTAGGGTTAAATACAGGTAGGGTTAAATACAGGAAGGGTTAAATACAGGTAGGGTTAAATACAGGTAGGGTTAAATACAGGTAGGGTAAAATACAGGTAGGGTTAAATACAGGTAGGGTTAAATACAGGTAGGGTTAAATACAGGTAGGGTTAAATACAGGTAGGGTTAAATACAGGTAGGGTTAAATACAGGTAGGGTTAAATAAGGATTTATGAAAAAATGTAATGCGTACTGCCTTTGTTTAAAATAAAATGGGAGGTGAACAATTTAAAGTAACACAAGCATAATAAATATAAACTAACATAAACATAACTTATTAATATAACTTATTAATATAATATACAGGTAGGGTTAAATAATGATTAATGAAAAAATGTAATGCGTACTGCCTTTGTTTAAATAAAATGGTAGGTGAACAATTTAATGTAACATATAGCACAAATGTAAAAAAAAAATACAATAACATGTTAGTTATTAATATAAATTTTGAAGAAGAAATGAAATTTTTATATATATCAATGATTAAGAAAACTAAAAAATGTATTGTTTGTTTAGAAATGTAAGTTAACAATATCAATGTTTAAGAATATAAAATGTTTATTAAGTGGAAATGTTATTCATAAATATTCATTTATTAGAACAATTTAAAAGAATTATTTATTTTCCTTTGAATGAGTAAAGACAAATAGGCAAATAATTGAACCTGTATTTTTTCAGACTCCACATTTTTCAGTAGACCATACTGATCTCTCTCTGTAGTATTGGGCACACCATAACTTCCAATGATTGGATAGGTCAAGGTCAAAATTTGACCTCTGTAGCTGGGATCAGTCAAGGCCTCAGGATATCTACAAGTAAAAAAATTGTGTCAAATGTCAAAAACAATGGCAAATATTATAGTTTTTACACAGGGCTATACTCAATATGTGATGCATTTAGATTTAGATTACAAAACCAAAGTAAATAGTTGAAATTTTCTAAATGTTAAAACATTAGTTCAAAAGTCAACACATACATATTACCTCCCTTTGGTGTATTTATCGCGAATGAACAGAATAAGTTGTGTGAAACATTTGAACATTTGGATTTTTAGAAAATGTCAATTTTTCAGCTCAGTTTCTCATTATAATAATTCAAATTGAACTATAAATAGTGACCAAAGCTGCAATGTGTATTGGATAAATTTAACATAAGAAAGGCTTACCCCACCAGTCCTGTGTTGAAGACAATCTCACCAGCACATGAGACTGGCTCACCAAAGGAAATACCTGGCAACCTCTTTCCATTTTTCAAAATTAAATTAGCTCTTCTGGGCTGGAGACAATAAGATAAATACAATAATTGTTCTTAATATTGCAAAAAAAAACTATAGGCTTTTAGTAGGAGAATTCTTTACATAACATATGTTGTAATCAATGTTCCCCATAAGCTGCGCGGTTGTGCGACCGCACAGCAGTTTTGAGCTGCCGCGCAGTGATTTTGTAAAATAAATATATCATTGTATAAGACTTTTAGAACACCGCGCACACAAAATACATTTTGCACATTAGCTTTTCCCCCTTAGAGGGAACTTTGGTTGTAATGGTTATTTTAACATTGTGGATGTTATTTGCTGAAGGGGTGTAATGTGACAAAGCTACCCCAAGTACATTCTTCAGCTCAGGGTTAGGTTTTTCAGAAACCATGTTGTGTAATAGAGTGCTATTACAGTGTTGGAGGTCTGGTTCAATCAGGATTTCTTTATATCTTAATCAGTTAGGGGGAAGAGATAGTGGCTGCATAGTGAACTAGATAAATAATATGTAATGTTAACAGAGAAATTAACTGCTTTGAAATCTCTTGAAAGGAAGAGCACTTTAACTTTTGAACATCATATATTATATGAGTAAATATAAACTAAGAATAGCTTGACTGGAGAGCACTCAAACTGCCAACTTGAGATAAGCTGACTCACCATTCTACTCCTTCATATTCCGCTGTCTGGTCTACTCCAAGTTTAAATGTGTAACTTACATGTTTTCAAATAACATTATCCACATGAAAGCATTGATGACAATGAACCAATGCGATAAATTTACCTTGCCATCCTTGGTGCCAGAGCTTGAATATCTTTTAGAGGAACCATAACTCTGCTTAGTTGAATGATAAGTAAAGGATGTTGCGGCCCTTGCCTTGAGGGTGGTGGAGTTGATTAATCTCAGAATGGTCATGGTTAGAGCTGGACCATACACACTACATTCATCTGTTTACCTGGAGGGGTGAGAAATGTTTTTATTGTACAGGGGCAGAATTTTCAAACAACAAAATAATTAGAGAGTAAATAATGTTGACATACATCAAGGAATTAAGATATGTTCGGGGTAAGATGGAGAATTTCAATATTTCTTTAAGTAGTTATGGTCTCAAGACATGGATATTACTGTCAAAAGACACAGAGTCAGGCTCAGTGTTTTAGTATACATTTACACCACAAACTTCCTTTGTCAGTAATCACAGAAAGAATTAGATGAGAATATGTCATTAAAAGAAATTACGGGGTTTACATAAATTTGTTTATAAATTTAAACCATTAACTAAAACTAGATTGAATTAATTTTTCTCAGACTTGATTAGTATTGACAGAGAAGGAATTCACTTGATATTTACATAAATTCATTATTTAACCTTTTGAGTAATGTGGTATAGCTGATCAACAACTGTCATTTATAACTTTAACCTTTGAATTCTATTTTTTACTTAATATATTTTTTATACAAAATAAGAAATAATATTCATTACAGAAGAAATTATACATGCTAAAACAATCTCCCTTTTGAATAATTTATTTTAAAAATAATATAACTCATCTAGATTCTAAGTGCAGTTGTGTCCCTTGGCCAGGTGCACCTCAATGCTACATTTTGTTTGGCTATGCTAAAATTCGCATGGTGTGCATTTTATAATACAAGAAATTCACGTACTACCTGGGTGTAGGCCTACTGAATGAATTAAGAATGAATACTTATATAATACCGCACCTGAGTCACTGTGAATTACTGTTTCTCCCCCAGTTAATTTCGAACACTGAACACAATTTGATGGTAGATCTAGGTCTATTTTAGTTTGATAATTTTGAAGTAAGTTAACTCCCTTTCCTTACGGCGGGCTATGGCAAATCATTGCATCACCCCAACAATTTTTACTTTTCCTTGCGGAAGGGGGGGGGGTATCCTTAATGATCCTACATTTATATTTGCGAACCAAGTTTAGAAGTTACCATGGCTTACCATTTGTATATTATTTATTTATTATATCATCATATAGATTCTAGATCTAAAGTAAGTAAGTAGATAGATCTAGATTTCTAGATCTACCAGAAGTTAGGATCTAGATTTAGATCTAGAATCTAGATCTAGATTAGATCTAGAAGTAGCCTATTCTAGAAGTCAGGTAGAGTGACACTACTATACTTATATAGTATTATATACTATAAGACTATAAGTTAAGACTTTAAGACTATAGTACTATAGTAACTATAGCTATAGTATAGACGACGAAGTAATTATTAAAATTTTAAAAAGCCATACTAATTTACCTTGAATGACTTGAATGTAAATGCTAGAATATTATTTTAATAACTAAATCCGCATACAGTTTCGTAGACCACTTACTAGATCTACGTCGAATTTTCTAACATGTTGATCTCACAAATGATCCGGTGTTCAGTCGGATGTAAACATCACCTCGGCCTTGAACTCTCGCGCACAAACGCGCGCCGGCTGTTATTTTGTCAACTTGTTTAGCCGGCTTTTTTTTTAATTATCCTAGCGAATTGAATGGGTTGTGGGAGTGGACAGTGACGCTTGAGAGAGCAGAATGCCGGATTCTGGGTTCGTGGTAGTTTCAGCTGGTATTAGGGGCACACCCTGGGTGAATGGTGTGGTGGGAAAGAGGTGATGTGTGTGTGTGGAGGGGGGATGGAGGTCATGGTGAGAGGGAAGAGATGGGATGTCATGGTGGGGGATGGGAGGTCATGGGTGGGGGAGGGGAGATGATAGGTCATGGATGGGGAGATGATAGGTCATGGATGGGGAGATGGGAGGTCATGGTTGGGGGAGGGAGGAGATGGGATGTCATGGTGGGGGATGGGAGGTCATGGGTGGGGGAGGGGAGATGATAGGTCATGGATGGGGAGATGATAGGTCATGGATGGGGAGATGGGAGGTCATGGTTGGGGGAGGGAGGAGATGGGAGGTCATGGTTGGGGGAGGGGAGAGATGGGACGCATATTTGAAGGTTTAAGGGGGCGGGGGACATTGCTGGGAAGGATGGGTTCAGAAAAAAAAATAATTCGAAGAAAAAATGCTGCCTGCATAAGAAAAAAAAATTATCCCAAAACAAGACATTCTTTGTCGTTAAATCCGTGTTACTAAAAACAAGTGGGAGATGACGATGTAAACTAGACGACCTCGAATCTTACCTACACACCCGAACAACGGTTATTCCTTGAGAAAATGTTACCCACTGGTACCCAAAGAAAGGTGTCAAGGCAGAAGCCTGACATGTGGACAAAAGGTTCACGTGGACAATGGAACAAAATGTCCGCCTGGACAATTGAACAGTGGGTCAACGCGGACTAAAGGCTTGACCACATTAGAAAGCGGATAGGCCAAGTTCTATTGATATGAGTTCCGAAATCAAAACAAGGCAACTGGCTAAAATTGTTTCAATGAAATGGGGTTAGGTTCAAGACGAGCTTATTTATTGGTTTCGATTAGCCGTCACTTATGGGGACACAGATCTGTGCGATGGTAGTTTCTCTAAAACAAAACTTTACAAGACAGTCCAGTTTTAAAACAAATTAAGTATTGTTGCCATATAACCATCCACCACCAGCCCCTATTTAACAAACTGTTTCACAAAATGCACGATTCTCATTGATGGTGTCAAAGGCGATACAAGCTGTAGGAATATGATAATTTGTGTATATGGCGGCAGTGTTTCTTCCAGACTATTTTCTCCGGGGAGGGGGGGGGCAGACCGGCAGTTGATCTTTTAGGGGTCCGGAGACTAAATTTCCCGGGGCGCGGACACTGATAAAAGTGTATATATATATATATATATATATATATATATATATATATATATATATATATATATATATATATATATATATATATATATATATATATATATATATTTCGTTTATAAATTCCATTTCGTTCTGGGGGGGGCGGTATATTTATTTATTTCTTCGTGGGGGGAGGGGGGGGGGAGAAACTCTAAAATAAATAAATTCTATATGGCTGATCTACAACCAACTTCTGATGTTCAGGGGAGGATTGCAAGTATGAAACCAATCATATGGCTCATTCGGTCCATGAATGATTGAACAAGCCCTATATTATTGGTAAACCAAATGAAGATGGAAGTCTAGCAAACTATGTACACACACCCCAGCCAAAGTTTCTTCCAGGCATTTCTTCGTTGCCCCCCCCCCCCCCCCCGAAATTTTTTTACCCCCCCCCCCCCCCCCACCGAACTAAATGAAATTTATATAATTTATATAGAAAATATATACTTTTAACAGTGTCCGCCCCCCCCCCGAAGAAAGTCTACCGCCCCCCGGAAATTTCAAGTGCCCCCCCCCTTCCGGAGAAAAAAGTCGGGAAGAAACATTGACCCCAGCGCCTACGCCTGCCCCACACTGTTGAAGTAAAATCTACCAGCTACCGACGCATGTGTTCGATCGAAGTCAATAATATTTTAATAATTATAGCAGGTTTGTCCGAGAACATGAAAAAAGTCACAAGATAAAACTCACAAGATAAAACTCACAAGATAAAGTCACAAGATAAATTCACAATATAAAGTCACAAGATAAAGTCAGAAGATAGAGTCACAAAAGAAAATCACAAAAGAAAATTACATGATAAAGTTGCGAATAACAATCGCTATTTATTTTAACCGTTTAAATATAAAAATAATTGTAAAAAACAAACGTTGTATCTGTCCCAGACTTTTAAACCATGTTAGATTTTTGTCTTGATCCCATGTATAGTGACGTATAGAAAGCGGTAGGTACGTGGGGCAACAAAGACAAATTACCTTGATTACATCTCTGAGCCCAACCCCCCTCCCTCTCCTTTCGGACACTATACAACAGTTTGTTAGAAAAACAACTGAAAACATGTTAAGCATACACATGCACAAATTGATTAATGCATCTTTTTACCTGTGTATTTCTTTATATTGTGGCTTTATTTTCTGTGACTACCTTCCCCCAATCCGTTGATCTAGGTCACGCTTTCTACCTTGTTAAATGAATTGAAGTGTTCCCAGTGCAGGAAGGCTAAAAGTGGGAGCTACTAACAATATAAGGGTGGGGTGGGGTGGGAGTGGGCATGTGTTCTATTTATAGTCGAGCCACCCCCTTCACGTATTCGCTTCACGTGCTGAGAGCCCTGAGGATTTCTTTACCTAACCCCCTCCCCCCCTCCCGCAATTGTTAAGATCGGTACGGTGTTCTATTTACATTGAGGTTTATAGGTCACATGGTCAATGACGTGGAGAGTTATGGGCCCTGAACAAAAAAGCGCACATATGCCGGTTATGTTTGCCTTGCTCCGACTCACGAATACCTTCTTCTTTACTGGAGGAGGGGGGGGGGGGGGAGTTAGGTGGTCGTGCGGGAATCGCGTGTTTAGAATTGGAAAAAAAGTTGAAGGGGTGCAAAATACAGAAAATCGGCTTAAACTGTACCAAATTAGACTACTGTTAGGACTGAACACCCACCAATTGGTATTTTGAAGGTCCAAAATTGTTGGGAAATACACCTGTGTCACCTGTCAGTTGTGTGTGTGTCTGGGGGGGGGGGGGGGAGAGGGTTACATGTATTTTTTCTTGTTAACAGATTATGACTTTGAGTTTGCTTCACAAAATTAATCGAATGGCAAAAGGTGGAAAAGCAGGCTAAAAACCTTTCATGAGTTGTAAAACCACAGGAATGGATCAAAGATTCTTCCAGGCATTTCTTCGGGAAAGTCTACCCCCCCCCCCCCCCCGAACGAAATTGAATTTATAAAGAAAATATATATCATTTCAACAGTGTCTATTCCATCCCCCCCCCCCCCCCCAAACGGCTGAAAATAAATGCTGCTTTTTTAACATGCCTCCATCCATTTCAAAAACAAAACAAAGCTCTAAAACTAAAACCTCTAGCTCTGCTAAAACCCTACAGCTACCCATCCCAGTCAGACTTGTCGTTTGAT